GCTCTCTAAACATGACATATAGCCATATGATCCCAAACAAATATCCAACAATCATGCTTTGGATATGAACACCTTTGTGTTTTTCCCGATGTCAAGCATTTCCTTTGAATAGAGGAAAGTTAACTTTCTTTCGTGAAATGCATTCTTTTGCATTAGGAGTCCGTTTAGGGAACTTCTGACATCTATAGCTTCTTCTAGAGTCAAAAACAATCCCAAATAAACTAGAAGTCAGAATCTGAGCTTCTCAATATTCTCAAAAGCTAACTATCATTTCTCAAAATCTTAAGCTTCCCAAGCAATACCATCGATTATAAAAAACAAATCATAAACTAAGATATGTGTTTGCCACAAGAACACAAACTTCAACATGTTTTTTCACCGGCCAGCGATAAATTAGGAAAATATGTAATACAAACCACATATGTAATACAAATATGGAAACTATCGTGAGATCTGAAAATAAATGGCTGAGATTTGTCCACATCATGAGTAAAAACTTTACTCCTGAAAACTTTTTTTCTTTTCGTGACGTGGATCAATCTCAAATGTTATTTTTTTAATCCAACGATAGTTTTCAAGTTTCACTACATATTTGGTTTGCATTATATATTTTTCATGACAAGTTCACGTGTCAAAGTAAATTAAGATATATAGCAGAGCTGGACCATAGTTTAATTAGTTCAATCGCATACCTAGACCATCCCCACCCGAGTTTGAGGACATGTTTACGAAGACTTTAGCATCTACAATTTTTTTAAGAACTAAAGTTTTCCAAATAATTTAGCTTTTTTTAAAATTTTAAGATACTATACTTAGATAACAAACTGAAAGATAAAAGTTGTTATCTTAGCTTCTCTAAATTAATTAATTACTTGCTAGATTTTCATCCATTGTTTCTTAGAATCTAAAGCTTCAAGCTGAGTTCGGTGCTCGGTGTTGAAAACTCATCTCTCACGCACGTAAAAAGAAACGACTCATTAAATCACGATAGTTAAGTATCAATTATTTTTTAAAAAGGGATTAATATGATTTTTAAAGCAACTTTTGTATATATTTTTTAAAAAAACATACTGTTTAATAGTTTTAAAGGTGTGTACGTGAAAAACAAAAGAGTTAAGTTGAGTTGAGAACTTCAACAAAAGAACTAGAGTTAAACTTAAGCAGTCTTAAACTTATCTCATGCTTACTCTTGTTAGCTAGTCAATATTAAATAGGCCTTTATTTTGGTGGCTTCCTGCTGCGTATCGGAGATATACCATTTGTTCCTTAATTAAATTAAGGTAGCAAAATGTGTTACAAATTAACCTAGCCTATAAGGATAAAAAGAAGGCGAGAATTATGTAAAGAAAATAAAAGGAACTTAGTCATTGTTTGATATATAGCTCAGGATTCCGATTAAAAACTGGTGATATGAGTAGTAAAAATCAGTGTTTTCTCTTTTTGGATTTTATTTTATTTTTAAATTTTACATTAACAATATATTATCAGAATCCGTGTGAGAATGTAGACTAGTATTTGATAGAGGGACCTTAGACGACTGTCGAGGGAAGAGATACTTTACACCACGTGGCCTGGCACCCTCGGGGGACGTCGGGCCCGAGGGTGATGTGTGCGCCCACCTCTTGGTCTCCCCCAGGGGGGTCGGACCACTCCTGCCTCGCCCCCGAGGGCCGAGGCGCCCCGACCCCTCGCGGGTTCTACTCCGCGTGTATGGGTTAGGTGAACACAGCGGGGCTCACCTAACCGCATTTATTGCGGCTCGGCTAAACGTGTCACGCCGCACGAAATGCAGTGCAGTGCACTGGTTTATCCGGTCTGTGACCAGTCACAGACCGGTCAGATCGCGGGTTAGGTGGCGACAGGCGGTCTGACGCACGCTTCGCCCCATCCCGTCAAGACGAGAGCTTCTAGGCACTCGTCCCCAGCTGGAGCTAGCGTGTTACCTCCCAGAGATGGCACGTTAGCCCCGGTCGGATATATGCCAGGCTTCATCCTAACCATTACAAGCAATATGTTGTGTGAAGAAGGGCAAACATGCATGTTGCTAAGCTGACGCATGGTGGACAAGAATGACCGACTTGTGACCGGTCTGACACTGATCATGTCGTCAGCAGACAGCCACGTTCCCACGACGCGCCTGCCTTCGGCAGAAGTGGAGGTAGGTATGGGCCGTCCCGTCAGAAGGTCATTCGGAGGGCAACCATGCAAATCTCCGTCCATTTATGAAGAGAAGAAAAGTCCAGTTGGGAGAGAGGGGGGTGCATGTGGTATCCCCTTGAAATATAAAAGGAGGACCTTGCCCATTTAGAAAAGGGGGGATTTGGGGGGGGGCCAGATTCGGAACCCAGAACAAGGGAGAGGCTGGCTCACACTTTGTAGCTCCTTCATACACAGATCCACCAAAACACAGGAGTAGGGTATTACGCTTCTAAGCGGCCCGAACCTGTATACATCGCCTGTGTCTCATGCTCTTTCGATAGGTCGCGATCTTTCCACATACAGAGAGAGCTTGGGATTTCACCCTGAGCCCCCGGCCGAACCGGCAAAGGGGGGCCTGCGCGGTCTCCCGGTGAGGAGCCCCACGCTCTGTCAGATGTGATATATCCTAATATTATGAATTTAGATAGGGAGTATGTCCAAATTCATCCTTAGGAAAGTACTCTGTATCTCTTTCAACCAAAAATTGCTCTACTTAGGAACTGAGGGTGTACTCCCGGCTTTTGTTCACCACTTCTGCTTAGAGCAAGTTTAATAGTATAGCCAAGCAAGTTTAATAGTAGTATAGCCAACTAATAGCTCCAAATCATTTATAGCCAATTTATATAATAGTTACCTACAAATATATAATATACTATTAATATCTGATCCTACATGTTATATATAAATTGTGTCTTCGAGTCCATATTGTAGCTGGCTATAAATCTATAGCCAATTGCTCATCTCTCTTCTTTATTTTCTTTTTTATTTATAATTTGTTATTGTACCTGCTCTTACATATAGCACGTGAAACACGTACAAGAGTACACCCCCTGCTTTCACTCAGTAGTACTAGGTATTACTACTATAGTACGCCTGTTTTCAGTTATTTTTACTACTAGTACTATCTTTCTTTGGAATCTGACTAGCTAGCTGGTCATACATTCTACTACTACAGTACGTACACACAAACATTTGGTCAATATTGGAGTAACAGTTACTGCAGCTCCACCATGATTGGTCTTGGATGGGCCCAGCATCAGACATTAATTAATCACTCTGTTCTTTTTACCCATCAGGGAGTAAAATATGTTCAGGAATCCTAAGGTTTTTCACACTCTGTAACAGCAACTCTCTCATCAGGAGTAAAATATTAACTTGAATGTTTTGTTCTTTAAAATGTTCAAGGTCCAAATGACACTCTACCCTGCCTATAGCCTCTTTTGACCCGAGCGAGTATAATGGACTGGTTTGGTTTGAGGCCTAAATTAGACTTACCAATATTTGACAATTTCAATAGTATTTACTGTCTATTTGGTTTGAAGCCAAATTTTAGCATGTCTAAGAAAATAGACCATTTCAATAGTAAACTTAGGCTATTTTGACTTCAATCCAAATACAACTTTACCTTACCAAAATTAGACAAAATTTGGTAAGGCCTATTTAGGCCACAAACCAAATCAACTCAATATGACGATGCAAGTATGTTCTACATATTACCACACTATATTTGTGTTTACTTGAAGGAAAGAGAAAAGTTGGTTAAAGATTTGTAGTCAACTACAACACAAGCTCCAATAACCTATGTGAGATAGGATATGCATTAATGGTATAGTATATATCTATAAGTAAGTATGGTATAAGGGCACCCACAATGGTTATCTATAAGCTCTCTACAAGAGATCCATGTCAGCATATTTTCCTACTTGAAAGAGATTAAATGAAGAGAGAGAGCAAAGCTATCTACTAACATGGAGATAGTCTATAGAGAAAAACGAGACAATGGATTAGAGAGCTATAGATACCCATGTAGACATACCATTGAAGTGGTTTACTATTAATCTAGTCTATTGTTGAGGTGTACATGTTTTATAGATAGCACCTTACTTTACCATTGCGGGTGCTCTAAGTGAGCTATCAAGTTAGTTATAGATAATATGTTAATTTTTGAAACTAGTAGTTGATTATATTATTAAACTTGATCTTAGTTCTGTTCGACAACACCTTTTCCCAACTTCTACTTCATCTTTTTCCGTGCACACGTTTCACAAGCTGCTAAATGATGTGTTTTTTTAAAAAGTTCATATAGGAAAGTTGCTTTAAAAATTCATATTAATTCAGTTTTCTAGTTTATTTTAGCTAATATGTAATTAATCAACGTTATTTGTCGTTCCGTTTTGCATGCAAACAATTGGAGTTCTCAACCTCCACTTTCAAAGGCAGCCTTAGGTTCCGTTTGGTAGAGGTTTAACTTCTAAATTTAACTCTAGGAGTTAGGTTTGGAGTGGAATTTTGTGGAGCAGTCTAAACCAAACTGAACCTCTCTAGTTTATTTTATGAGAACGCTTTACCTAGCTCTGCTCCTATTTTAGATGGAGTTGAAACTATCTTACTGGGCTCTAGGGGAGGTGCAGTTAGACCCGTGCCAAACAGGCCCTTAGCCTATTAGCTGCATCAAACACTTTTGATTTTAATAATTTTAGCGTAATTTATTTTTAACATCGGCTTATAAATCACTAAGATATATAACACATACACAAGTTTTAACGCATGTACATTTTTATTGTTAATAAGCGTTATAACTAATAATCAACCATAAACGAGATGAAGGGACTGATTTTCATTGTTCAGAGACAAACCAACTAATAGCATATAGCTACATTTACCTAATTTCTATGATTAATAATGAACTATATACAATTAAGTTTATACTTCCTCCATTTTACAATGTAAGACTTTCTAGCATTGCCTATATTCATTTAGATATTAATAAATCTAGAGATATGTATGTGTTTAGATTCATTAACATCTATATGTATGTGGACAATGCTAGAAAGTCTTACCATCCATCTAGTTAAGCAAAATCAACTAAAATTCACTTATCCTATATTATTGTGTATATGGTGTGTGACAATGGGTACCCGTAAAGTGAAGTGAGATGCGTCCATATCCCTATAGTCTTGTAGCTAGGGCATATGACAAAGCTCGCTTTCTGATGATGATGTGCTAATATTCTTTCATCCAAGGAAACTCGCTAGCTAGGGTTTGTTGGGCAGCAACTTCGGCCATGTTTTCTTGATCATTTGCGTGTTGTTGAAGATGGACGGCATGGATCCCTTCCTAAAAGGCATATATAGCCATATCAATCAAGAGATGGAATCCATTCACACAAGAAAAAGGGCATAGCAATCTTCTCACTTTTCAAGTAACAACACAACTTGAAAGGCATCTTTCTTCTTAGACTTGTCTCTATTTCTCTCTGTTGATATTTCATTATAAATAAAGGAAATTAGGCATGTTTGTTAACACTATGTGGTGTCATATCTCAAATAACAAAACCATAATAACACAAGTTCACTTTTCATGTAACAACAGAACTTAAAAGGCATCTTTCTTAGAGCTCTCTCAATTTTTCTTTTTCTTTTAAAAAATATTGATATTTGCTATTTCATTATAAATAAAATTAGGCATGTTGTTAACATATGTGGTGTCGTATCCCAACTAACAAAACCATAATAACACTGGTTCACCAAAATGAATTATTGCACTAACAGGTAGATTGATGCCACTGTGCATCTGCACTGCCACAATTATCAAAACAAAGCACCACAAAAAGGCTAGCTACACATCTATGGTTCTATAATGCAAGGCACTCATGAAATTCACCCCCCATATCTTAAGGTTTTATGCCATTTGCACAAAAGCCACTTTCCTCTTGCATTTTCAGCAAAGAGCACACTTTGCATTGCTACTAAAAAAAAATTTCCTTTTCTCCCATGCATCATCACATGAGGCCATGTCACTTTGCCACACAAGATGAAAAGAAGGGGGTGGGAAAAAAAAGGTAAGATGACAATGATCCAATTGCACCCCACATCATCACATGGGCTGCTCCCACTAACCTTAGCTTGGGTAGATTTGTCCACTCATGTCATCGAGCCCAAAAAAAGTGACCCCTTCTGATCTTCCTACCATCATCTTTCTTGTGTGTTGTTCAGAGAGCAATGGTAGCTCCTGCAAGGCTGCAACACAAACTTGGAATGAATTGAAAATGGAAGAAACCTAGGGCACCATGGTCCTACTTCATGGGGATGACAGGAATGCACAGTGAAGATTCTCACATGATGATGCATGCATATAGTGTTACAGAAAATTGTAAATGTATGCAGTGATCAGTGACTGCTCCAATACCTTGAAATTTATTGGCAGGTGAGTTATATATTATTGTTTTGGTTGAATGGTTCAGACACTCAAAATACTCAAATGCATCTGCTGCTTGCTAGTGCTATACTGCCACTGTGATATGCCAATCATTCTCCAATAACCTTTTAAGACATCAATACTCACATCATGGATTGATCAATAACCACACAACTTATAAAAGGGTCATCTTTGCTCCCTAACCACCAAGGGGAATATTGCAAAAAACTAATTAAGCACCATGATCTGAATAGTTAGTGTGATCAAGTTGCCAAATCACTTGTGTCCACAAAATGATAAGAGGCATGCCCTACCACAAGTGGGTGGACGGTAGGAGATGTGCAAGGACCAGCTTATTATCACCAGATCAGCTTCATCCTTTCAATATTCTTAGCACGGAGCACTCGCAAAGATCACTCAAAACGTACGTGGATAGAACGTACCATGTTAGGGGTTGTTTGGTTCACCATCACCACTCCAGCTATCCATCCACACTAATAGTGGCAGCATCCTATGCATCTATATCCTCAATGTCATTTTGAAAAATGCAATATTTGCACTGAAATCATCTTCAGTTAAACTAACAGTCAAATCCAGTTAAACCAAAATGTTGAATGTTGGCTATAATAACAACACCAGAGCTGAAAAAAGGCCATGCAAGTCACTATATATGTGAGATTCATGGCAGTTGTCCTTAGAAGAAGAGGCCAAATGCCAAGGGTCTAGTACTCTAGCCTAGGAGACATACACAATAATGGAGCAATGTCTGGACTCCAAAAAGGCTGCTGGCACTGTGTATGATACATGGTGAACAGAGGTAGAGGGGACCTCAGTACCCTCACACTGTCACAGCTTATGAGGCTGCAAGCTGATCCTGCCATGTACCAACTAGGTAGGCTGCTCACCTTTGGGACATAGGTCCCATGGAGGTTGGAGGATGACCCTCCTTGCTCTCTAATCCATCTTAAGCAGGCAATGCAAATTATGAAATGCAGGATGTTGAAAGCTACATTTCATCCACACAATGCCAACTGGTTTTTTTAGATGGATATGAAAAAGTTGAGCCTTTTTGCCAATCATGTTGATCAACTAATTAGGCTCTCAAAAAAAGATTACAGCCTGCAAGATGGGCTGTGTATAATTGTGAAGGGATTAACTTTGTTTCATGAGGGATCTCATCTGATTGATGGCAACCTGCTAGTAATATGGTAGTTTTATGCCTGTGACATCCTCTGATGAAGTGGTGAGTATTCTACCAAATATTCACCAGGATACCAGCAAAATATGTGTTAGGTAGCCAGATAGTCACATGCATTGCTTTCCATTTATCTAAGAAAAAAGTCACATGCATGCTAGGAGGGATCCAAAACCCAATGACAGTCCAGTTGTTTGCTTGTAAACTCTGCAGATGAATACAAATTTACCTTTTATGTGGTTTGGTGTGTCCAGTCTTTCTGGCGAGTATGGCCAACACAAGGATTTGGATAAATGGTGCACACACATATTCTAGCAAACAGTTGAAAGTTTCTAAGGTTCTAGTTCCACTTCCACCAAGCATTGATCTAGGCATTCACTTCTCTCACTGAGACAAGCTGTGAGAGAAACAAAAAACAATTACATGAACTTCACAGGAAAAATAGTTCACCTGTCAGGGTATATTTATATTTGAAAAAGAAAAAGCAAAAAAATAAAAAACTCGTTTTGGACGGATGGCGAAAGCAGTGGCGTGATGGGAGAAAGCTGAAAGCGTGGACCATCATAAGTTTGCAGCTGAGAGTGAAATGTCAGGCTGATAGATCCATAACCTTGTACACTGGGAGACAGAGACGCGGTGGCACTGGTATATGGAGTGTGTTTGCATGGACACAGGTGCCGGGAGACCAAATCATTTGAACATTGAAACTACAAGACATGCAACGTCTCCGATTCAATTCTGCCGAAATCCACCATCATTTTCACAGGTAAATACATGAATCTTCTGCACTCTACTATACCACACTACATGACCATTGGTAGATTGACAGATTTGAGTTTGCCTCATGCCCTCTCACCCTCTAAAATTTTTTTAACAGTGAAGATCCAGGGCTGTTCATCCCAGCACCTAGGCCATGGGCTGTTGGTCGACTGTTGCCAAGGTGGCCAGCTTGGCCATCAGTAGAGCAATCAGTGAGCAACAGTAGCAGCTAGCAGGTAAGAGCAGTGGATCAGTGCCTATGGAGCTTACTGTTTGGTACCAAGAGAGTTAGAACCAAATTTAAATTGGCAGAAATCCGAACATAAGAAACTCTGCTTTAATCATTCTCTGTGAGAAGGAGTTATCGCGCGGGCATGGTCTATCCAGAAAATGAGGTTACACGGTTATACCTCGGTTCAGATTTGACCCCATCCATACAAAGGGTAGAATTTGAGTGGAAAGAATGATTGGTTGAAACAGTATGGCACACGTAGAGTAAAGTTAGATGTATCATTACGGGAAATTGCATATATTTTGAACTGGCTAATGCTACATCACTACACATATTGCAACGAATTGCAGTGCCCCAGTGCTACAATTTACCCCTAGGTTCACTGGGATCACTAAGGGAAAATGTAGATGCTACGACACCTGCCACCCCAGTAGACATCAACTTTACTACTTACTAAAACCAAAAACTGAAAGAATGCTACTTGTACTCTATAGAACATACAGAAGCTTAGGAGCCAAGTGAGGGAGCACCAGCCGCAAATAAAAGATTCCTCCGAGAAAACTGCAACAAGATGAAAGCAGTTATGTTTACAATGCATAAGGTAACAACCATAACTTAAGGCAACATAATGGACTAAAGGAGGGAAAAAAATTCTCACCTGCAGAGTGTAAACAGGGGTTGATTTTGTAGGGAGGGCTTTCAGCATCCTCAGTCGGTTAGCTGAACCACCTTTGCTGTACAAGGACATTTTACAACAAGAGTAAGGCAATGATTTGGTACAAGCATCTTTATAAACACTTCGATCAACTCACGTATCATCCATCTTAAGAGTCTTAGTGCTGGAGGCGACATCCCATAGTTTTACAGTGCAGTCGGCTGATCCAGATGCAAGTAATGCCCCTTCACAGCTAAAATAATGGCAGAATGTATTAACTAAGATCAACCATACTTTTCCTTAAACTACAACAGAACGCAGATTATAGACATCACAAAACAGCAAACATGACTCCCTCTGAAAGAAATAACAGCGAGCATTTATATACACAAATCATGCGCACCATACATGGAAAGCATTGTGCGAGTAAAGAAGTCCTTAAATCGCAAGCTTAAATAAAGCAAAGCATAACAACAAATGATCATTTACAGGATAGTCTAAACAAAACATTCCATATGTAATCACTTGTAACCAACAACATGCACGTTTCTATTGTTCTCCCCAAAAGAAGGTGTGTTGCTGCTAACAGCAAGGTTTTGACATGCCAACGCAATGATAATACTTTGAAGTCTGTATTAATCTCATTGATTTATTCAAGAAATTCAAAGCAGATTATCAAAGAAAAAAGACAAACTGTTGGCCGTAAATTTCACCAGTTAACAGCTGGTAACTGGCCTTGAAACTGGAAACATCTATGTGGATGTTTTTGCTACCATTAGAACTCCTCAGGTTCACCCCTCTAATAACACTTTTTTCAAATTTAAGTTCTATACAAAAATACTCCAATTTGCTTCCACTGATACAGTGTAAATCCCAAAGCCCAACTCTAAAACTGAAAAGGCAAAAACCAGACGCAGCCAGATCTGGTTTCTGATGCCCTTGTGAGTGATATCATTTAAACACATCTAGATGAGGATGGAAGAAACGATGAGCTGATTTCTTGTATATAGATAGATCATGCTTACTCAATTCAAATAAACCAATTGATTTTCCAAAACTCAGTCCTGCTACATATGCACTAGCCAGTTTGCCAAGCCATGCTATAAGCCTATAACTAGCGTAGTGCCGTAGTTCCATAATACTACTCTATTGGCATATTAAAGAAATCGGCTAGATAGATATTATATTTTTACCAGCCGACCAGCATCAAATGATGATTACCTGTAAGCAAGCGACCACACACAAGAGTTATGTCCCACTAGCGGTGAAACACAACGACCAGAAGATATATCCCACATCATGATTGTTCCATCTTCATCTCCAGAGGCCATGTATCGCCCATCAGGAGACATTGCCAATGATAAAACCATACTCCTATGGCCAATAAACATCCTTATACATTCACCTGTTTGAACATCCCATAGTCTTACTGTTTTGTCACTAGAGCCAGTGGCAATGTAGTTGCAGTTGACATGCCATTGCACACACTGTCAGGCAAAAGTATTTTTTTTAAAAAAATGCAGACATCAATATAGGAAATTAGAGAATAAGCATGTATGGAAATATTCCAACATTAAGTGATCCCATATAAGAAAATGACCAAAACCATGAGTACACTTACATCAACATCAGATAAATGCCCAGCCATTATTCTCAAAGGCTGGATTTTATCCATGGACCAGATTCTAGCAGTCCTGTCATGCGAAGCACTAGCAAAGTAATGTCCAACTGGACTAAACTGCCAAAAGAAAACAGAACAGTGTCAACAACTATCATAGCACAAGGACTACAATAACAGAATCAGATAACTTGCATCCAAAAGAATTTGACAGTGAGCTTTTCACAGGACATATAAGTACCTAGTACTCCATCATGGAGAGTACTAACGATGAAATACTAGTTAGGAATAGTTCATAAGGAGCACACAGAAACCCATGCTTCCTTTTTTCTTTTTGGCATTGAAAACAGCTTTGTATCCACACTAATAATATACTAAAAGAACTGGTAATCACATACTTGGACATCCCAAACAGGGTAGTTGTGTCCTTTGTAGCAAACAAGATTAGCATTCAACTTGGTGTTCCATAAGCGAACTGTAGCAAGTCAAAAAAATATAGATAAATTGTGAATTCTAATTAATAAAGTAACAAGGAAGAGAATGATACAAAACAAGCACAATGAGAAGGCTTTACTTGTTGAGTCTGCAGATGATGACAAGAGGAAGTCCCCAATTGGGCTAAACATGGCAGAATAAACTGGTCCAGAATGACCTTGGAATAATGTACAGGATTTACGCGCTTCATCTGATGTCGATACCCGCTCAATCTGGGAGGGTCCATTCTCGCCTTGTGAACAAGCTGAAAATTATAGTTTCTTCAATCAGTAAATACCATCATTGCATAATTGACTTTGATGCTAGGAGGATTAATGTTCTAAGACTATCATAAGGTTCTGAACAGGTTCCAGAGTCAAATACTGTAATGACACAAGTGCATCAGTACATCCAGCAAGTATGACTGAAAAACATCATACTTCTTAGGACTTGTAACTGGAACTTCGAATGATACAAATGAATGTACCATTATAGTATTTTTAAGAAGGCAATAGCCAATTAGTCACATAAACCAGACGCAAATTTATATAAGTGTTTCAGCATAACACAAAGCAGAACAAATAATCAAAAATAAGGAGTGAAGAACAACTAACATGCTTTGGAAGGCTGGCCAATCTTTGACATATCCCAAACCTAGTGAACACCAAGGAGATTTTACACTTTTTACTATTACGAATTAATACAGAAATCACATAATAAGAAGATGCCACCTAAAAGGACTAGCCTTCACTGATGAATCAGCGAATCCACCAACGACCAATGAACCATCATGCGAAATCGATGAGCAATTTAACCTGAGTTCCACATATAATGATTAAACTGAAGGAGGAAAAATTGAAAATAAAAATTGTCAGGCATTGATCCATAGTTAAGTTTACCCATTATGTGTATTAAGGAATGTATAGAAGCTAACAGATGGCAATGACAAGCTATTCAATTGTGCACGGTTTCGCAAGTCCTCAAGAATTGACTGCTCAACTTCAACAGACCTGAAAAAAAATAATCAGTAAACGTCTATCAGATTCTTACAGATAAAGGTAAGGCTGATGAGTCAACAAAGATGTCCAACAAATAAAAGTAAACATGTGTACAAAGAAATTATTACAACTTAATATAAGAAAAAAACATCACTATAGAAAATCTTATCAGTGGGCTTAGGCTCTGTTTGCAAGAGCTGGTTCCCAACACCCTACTCTCGTTTTCCACACGCACGCTTTTCAAACTGTTAAACGGTGGTTTTTTTAGAAAAAGTTTCTATACGAAAGTTGCTTAAAAAAATCATATTGATCCATTTTTGAAAAAAAAATAGCAAATACTTAATTAATCACGTGCTAATGGACCGCTCCGTTTTCTGTGCGTACTGTTTGGGTTGGGAACCTGTTTTTGCGAACAGAGCCTTAATGGCCATGTCGTGATGATAGTTTGGAAGGCAAAGGAAATATAATCTTTGGTTTTGTTAATGTCTTACAAAAGTGCTTTTGAACAGCTCAAATATTCTACGGTTAAACAACATCTAAGCAATAACATATTGGCAGGTGGACATGGGATAACCAAATCATTTGAACAGTGTGGATGAGGAAGCAATATGTTGGTGCATAGAATATGCAGGCCCCTTTGAATTGGAGAAAAAACAAAGGAATTGAAATCCTATAGGGAAGATCATTGTTCATGCCTTTGATTTGTAGGAATGAGGAAAGGAAAATCACAGGAGATTTTCCTGTTCCTACAAATCTAGAGGAAAACATAGGAAATTTAACATCCATTCCAAGCTCATGTTTTTGTTATCTCGCGTTGGATCAAGGCAAATCTAGTAGCTCATGGCCACTTGTCTATTCAATTAGTGAGGGTAAGATGTGTATAAGTAGATAAGAAACCCAATTTACTCTTATAATCCAAGCCCATTGCTATGTTTTTCCTACGGTCCAATCAACCTACAAAATTCCTTTGTTTTCCATATTCCTAAGTTTTTTAATCCTGCGTTTCAAAAGGGGCAGTCTGCAGGAAAAATGAAACAATGGCCACATGAATTTAAAAAACATGTGGTTGCCTTCTTCCCAACCACGGACCAGGAAATGGATGCAGAGGAAGTTATAATTTTATCATAACCTAAAATCCTGAATCATTTCAGGAGAACTTTTTAACCTTAGGTCACAAACCAGACAATATTCAAAATTAGATGACCAAATTGGACTTCTCAAAAGAAAATTTGAAGTGATTAAAGATGTATTGTACGACGTACGTCATTGGAAGCGTTAGCTCTGGTTTAACTCGTGGTGCTATAGAAACCATGCTAGTTTCAGATTTCATGTTTTTCCCTGTGGTTCCTACAAACTTGTCCTTTTTGATCTTTTTATGTGAGCCACCCTGCTTTCCACCTTCTGAGGATCTTTTCTGTAGCAAAAATAAGAAAAGAGTGAAATGAGAAGGCTAAGAAACATCAATGGTGAGTGAGGAACATAGTTCCCCCTATGCAGCTGCCTAGCCTTCCCAGGTGCTAGGTTCTAACCAGTCTGCCTGCTAGCATTTACGGGAGCACTGAACAAAGGAGAATGCAGAATTACATAGTGGAACAAATCAATGAAACATTGATATCATATACAGCTGACAGCCAGTGCACATCAGAAAGTACTGTTTTTATAATAAAGCAACCATAAAAATCACAAGTTGCTAACAGAATCGCACGCACTAAAAAAAAGGAAAGCTTGTGTTTCAATGACCGAGGGCATAGGAAGCAAAATGAAAAAAAAGACTGGCATACTACAAAACAGTTTCTTGCCTTGTTGTCTTCTGTGTCTGCATCCTTGCTTTCTATTTCAGTTTTATCAGAATCTGAAATTGCCTTCTCCATACGTTCTTCAAGTGAATCTTCAAGTATCTGCATTACAGAATTTAAATCACAAAAATAAAATGTCTGAGCATAGTGAACAAATAATAAAAACGGCTAGAATCCCATTAAATATTAACTGATCGATCTATATAATTTCAATTCGTTTAGGCTGTATCCTTAACTATTGATAAAATAAATGATGAGAATTGGGAAACCACCAGACTGGTACAGAACATACCCCCCAATGCACCTCCTTCTGATTTATCTGTTTTGTCAAGTCCTTGCTAGTTCCAATCAGAACAACAGCATCCGAGTCATCAATGATTAATGGAGACTGCCCAGGGGATACTATCAATATTGTAAAGGAAAGTTGGAACAGAAGATTCAGATAACTCACAAGGAGCAAATGCAGGATGAACATTTAGGTCACTAATCATGAGTCATAACAGATTGGGGAAACTTACCTTGAAAATCTATGCGTTCATTGATTATTCCAAGCACCACAAGAGCTTGTGTTTTGTGGAGATACTGGAGAAGCAATTCATATGAATACTGCAATAAAAAAAGACAGAAACTTTAATTGGGACAGCTGATTATATTTCCAGAAAAGCAATTTTGCAGCAATCAAGAAATTACAGTGGCTATCATGAAATGCTGCCCCAAAAAATAGTACATGGTACAGGGTTGAAATGAAAGGGGATTTGGAAATGGTATACAACCTCACATAGCTTAATTCTGAATTTATTCTGCCTTAAAGATCGAGCCACTTCCATTTGCTGAAATTACAATATTTAGAAGGATAAGCCATAATTTGTAAACTTTGAGGAGATAGAATCAAATAAACAAAAAATAAGTCTTCATTCAAAATAGGGTAGTGCAATGTGGAAAAGCTGAGTCACTAACTTCCAAATGTAAAGGAGAAAGGATGCTTTCCAGCTTCTTGAGATCCCTCGAGTGTTCATGGTCTTCACGAAATGTGTGGAAAAATGAGCAAGCTGCAGTGCTCAAAGTTAGTGTATCAAAGAAAGAACTGCCCCGAATAAACTGATAGAAAGCAAAAAAAAAAAAAAACTGACAGAAGATTCATTATCATATCCACCTACTAGCATTACCTTCCTGTGTATGTCCCTCTGCCACTAAATCCATGAAGCAGTGGAAAAATAGTGGATAAAGAATGCGGAGTAATTCATGCTACAATAGAAATAAAAATTTAGAAAGAGATTATATAGCTTAATTTAGGAACATTAAAATACATATAAAAAAATTATACAAAATAAAGGTGCAATGGTAATTATGTACATTACAAATCGCAGGAAGCAAAACATACTTTCTGCCTGTGTAGGAAGTACAGATGTTTATAGGAATACTATTTTGCTCTCCAGAAGGTGGGCAGCACTGGATGGATGGAAGAGAATACACGAAAGAAGACTCTTCAAGTAAATGCTCCATCTGAAGCAACAAACTGTGACTCTAGAAGCTTGCTATACAAAACAGACTTGAACATTTTTAACAAGAGAAACAAGTGATCAGCTCTATGTGAATAACACAGAAAACACTCTTAAAAGATGGTATAGGCTGTAACACAGTAACAAATGAACAGATTGGATATAACAGTTCCATGCCTCAAAGCAGCTAAAACACATATGGTTGTAAAATACAAAAAAAAGGGGCAGGTTATGAAAGTGAATTACAATCTGCGCATGTAACACACCTTGTAGTGATCAAGATAACTGTATGCCCATGTTCTTAGTTTACTATAGCCATCATAGTACCTCGCTGGATCGTTTTCTGACCTGTCATTGCAGGCAATGACACAATCAAAATGATGTAGAGGGTAAAGATAATAAGAACAACACAATGAGCTAGGAATTAGATGCGGAACTACCCCTGCTGCAGTGAGAAGAAGTGCTACAGTAGAATCCATGCGGTAATTAAGAATATGTGGTTGAACACAATATATGAAAATCATGACAGAATTCCTCGTAGAAATGTGGTTCCGCACTCATCCTCGCCGTAGAAATTGTCGGTTGAGAGTTAAGCGCTCAAATTGATCCTACCAAATTGCTTCCTCCACAAAACCATCCCCAAACACCCAAGCAAAGCTAGTAATACTACTACAAAAATGGAACAAATTACTCCTGCGTGGGGGAAACCACACGACCAAATTGAGGTCCCTTAGTACTAGTTGAGTGTGAAAACAACATCTCGAACAAAAAAAAATCAATTTATAACAATAATAATTGCACTACGACACTACAAATTCCACCACTAGGTTTCCGAAACTCCGGCGGCTGAGCCGAGCGCGAGAGGCCGCAAGAGCAGAATCCGGGAGGGGAGGGGGAGGTCGTTACCTGGAGAGCGCGGCGTCGGAGAGGGAGTGGGAGGAGGAGGAGGCGGTGGTGGTGGTGGTGGTGGTGGCGGAGAGGCGGGTGCGGTCCTCGAGCAGCGCGAGCCCCGCCACGCGGAAGCCCTTCCGCTGCAGGTACTGGTGCACCTTCTTCTCCATCTCCTCGTCCTCCATTGCCGCCGGGGCGGAGAAGGTTCGGGGAGCTAGGGTTTTGAGAAGAGCTCGGATCCGTGGCGGGGCGGGGAAACGTCAGAGGAAGAAGAAGAAGAAGAAGAAGAAAGCAAAGCAACAGCAGCACGAGGAGGAGCAGAGGCAAAGGGAGGAAGAACGCAGCACAGCGTCATGTGTGCTTCAGGCAGAGGCCCAGCCCAATCCGTTATATGGCCTTGGCCCAGGAGTACGCAATTGCTCCTAGAAAGGAATAAGTTCACTTCACGTCCCTCATCCTACGGTCGAGTTACAATCACATCCCTCATCCGCAAAACCGTATACAACACATTCCTTATCTTATAAAACCGGCGTAAACAACGTCTTAAGGCAGTATTCAGCCCGGTTTTAGTTAACGTGGTGCTTACGTGGCACTCTAATAAAAATAAAATAAAAATCATGTTCATGCCAATTATTTTTCTCTCTTCTCTACCCTTCTCCTACATTTACTGGTCTCTGGTTCATCGATGCCGATGGGAAGGTGGAAACGTTGTGGTGTGGAGAAAGGAGACAGCGATAGTAGAGAAGCAGCAGCAGGAAAGCTTAGCGGAGAAAGGGGGTGGAGTCGCCGCCAAGGAGTCATCGGGTCGAGCGACGCCATCGCCGCCACTTCCTGTCATCTAGGCAAGTCCATGACGCGCGTGCAAAGGAAGGCGGCCTCATCGGTGACGCAGAAGGGTTTCAGCTAGGGGTGGAAACGGTACGGAAATGGACGGAAACCATATTTGTCGTTTTCGTTTTCATAGTTTTTTCGGAATCGGAAACCCCGGATACGAAAACGGAATCGAATATTATCGAAACCGAAAACGGAGCGAAAACGAACCGGCGCGAATACGGTAACGAAAACTTATCGGAATAAAAAACCCCTCAAACTGATAAATCCAATTGAATAAATTATCTATATTTAAAAGAGTAATGTTGTTGATAAATCCCAATGTAGGACAAAAAAATATTCTTATGTAATTTTAGATTTGCATAACAAATATTTTTTAAAAAAATAACAGCCAAACACCATGATATTCACTATTTAGTGCTTAAAAAGAGAATCCAGGATATTTCAGTCACAAAATTTCTGGTAATTTCGAGAAAATTTCCGGAAAGTTTCCGACCGATTCCGAGTTCCGACGGAAACTGCCCTTATCATTTCCGATTCCATTTCTGAGAAAATATTTCTGAATTCGTTTCCGTTTCCGAAAAATTCCGAAAAAATTCCGACCGACAGATTCCGTTTTCGAAAATAGGTCTGGAATCCGAAAAGTTTTCGTACCGTTTTCACCCCTAGTTCCAGCTGGTCGCGGAGGCGACAGCAGCTTGACGCCCACAACAGCTTTTGGTTGGAGAGGAGTCGTCAATGGAGAGATGAAGAAAAAGAGGAGAGAGAGGAGGAGAGAAGATGACATGGGTTCCACATAAAAATGCCACATAGCCAAAAAGACCATGTCAAATTGCCACGTAGGTGCCACATCAGTTAAAACTGCTTTAAATACTACCGAGGGATTTGATTTACATCGGGTTTTAAAGACGAGGGATACATTGTATTTGGTATTGTATTTGGTTTTGTGATTTTTTGTGGTTGAGGAATGAAATCCAAACTCAACTCTTAGATGAGGGATGTAAGGTAAATTATTCCTCCTAGGAAAGACATAGGCCGAACTTACAAGATTGTGGGCTCGTTTGGGGATTTTCTGCTACCTACAACTTCTCTAGAATAAAAAAAAAACTCCCAAACAGTTTAACTTTCCGCCCATATTATAAGAAGTTATAGTTGTGGAATCTGAAAATAAACTAGAAGCCAGAAGATAGTTTTTCAAGTTCTATAGTAGCTGGTTGGTACCCAGATTATAAGATAATCTCTGCTTTTCGCCCATATTATAAGAAGTTATAGTTGTAGAATCCAGAAAATAAACTAGAAGCCAGAAGACAGTTTTCCAGGTTCTATAGTAGCTGGTTGGTAGCCAGATTCTAAGATAATCTCTGCTTTCCGCCCATATTATAAGAAGTTATAGTTGTAGAATCCAGAAAATAAACTAGAAGCCAGAAGACAGTTTTCCAGATTCTATGATAAACTCTGCTTTATAGTTTATTTTCTAGATTCTATGGTTACATATAATCAGAATCTACAGAGTTTGAATAGCTGAATATCATGGAAGAAACTACAGCTAGAAGCTTTCCTAAATAGGGCCGTAAACCCTCCCAACACAATACGTTTAACCCTAGTTAATAGCTTAGCCTATCATCATTTGCTCTACTAGGTTATCACCCGTAGAAAAAAAAACGAAACCACCAAAAATAATTTCTAAATATAACTTTTTATATATTTTTGTGTTCCTAGCAATTTAAAAACCAATGCTACAAAATAAACTAAGATGAAAAAAAAACTTTAAAATCAATTATAAAATTAAGCTTCAAAATTCAAATTTTAGCTACAACTGATAAGCCTAGTGAAACTCGAAATGAACATAGTAAAACAGGAAAATACGGCTCAGAGGGTCTGTGCGACAATGAAAACTTTCTTACCTACTCAGCTCCAAGTGAAGCTATATAGAGTTTTAAATTGATTACAAAACATACACCATATGTCAGTTGTCATACCAAAAGGTATCTATGGAGAACTGACGGTGGGTATCTTCACATAATAAGCATACACATAACACATTACACAACAAGGATTTTAGCATAATACATGGTACATAATCGTCCACTGCGTTTTATTGAATTCACTTTCATACATCAAGAAAATTAGAAACAGGCCTACGAAGTAGACGCTTCATGGGATGGTCCTCTGGTACAGGGGGAGTGCTCCCAATGCTTCGCGCTCTGCGCTCTCCTTTTTCACCTGAAAAGCATGATGTGTCAAACAGTAGCCAGCAAAAGATGGTTTTTTATCAAAATTTAACATGAGTTTTGTTTCTTAAGGCCCACACATCAGAGTAGTCAAGGATTGATTTCTTTGGAAGAAACATCTGCTCATATACGATGATATTCTACTACCAACAGAAGAGGAAACAAGTGTAATAAAAGGAGTACTACCCAAATCATTTATACCGATAACAGCAGACTGTTTCTCTGGACAATCACCAACAGCCAATGACACACTATTAGTGGATAGCAATTAACCGTCAGTAAATCATTTGAATGGGGCCTTGAGCAGAAATAACCTTTGCAATTATGCACACAATTTTTTAGATACTAAATCAGCATGAGGAACCAACATTCAGGAATTCATAGTACTGAAAGCCAATCTTAAGACAGCAAACCTAGTATTTTCATACAGTAGTAATAGTTGTACATGTACTTTGGCTAATTATTGGTCAAAATATACAAAGTTTGATCTTTGAAATCAAAATACTTGGAAAGTATCAGGTACCACAAACATGTATAATGAAAACAATTGTTCAAGTAAAGTGGCTCCTAAAAGAACATTGTGATGAGCGAAGTTCATTTTATTCCAGTATGTATAGTGCCAATTGCCAGCTCCCAAGTTGTAATCCATGGTTCAAGTAACAAGAAAGGTAAGGTGATAAAAAAGGACACTTACCAGTGCTAGCATATCAGATAAATAGCCTCTGAACGGTGTCTGCTTCGCCTGCCAAAAAATGAAAATTAATGGTGTCGCAAATCACAATATATGAGATATGCAGATAGGTCCTCTTAAATAACTGATCAGACGGTAATTGACAGGAGAATGTCAAAACAGAATGTGATGAATGTGGAGAAGGAATTAAAGGTCTTATAGCTTCAAAGGGAAGCTCACTATATTCTGAACACAGGATAGGAAGCAAGAACTCAGTACACCCCGAAAACAACAAAGTATAAGAGGTCAATTGAAGCAAATTCACCAAACGATCTCAACAAAATAGACCTAACAAGGAGACACAAGCAAATGTATCAGAGAGAGAGGACAAAACTAACAGTGCCATAGCATCATTTAGTAACAGTTCCATTCCCTATCACAAGCATCAAATCGGTGTCCACCGCCCATTCCTATTCACCAATTGTCTACCAGTTGCCATCCTTCTAATTCCTACGTCACCAAGCCACGGAGCGTCGCGGTCTCGCGGAGCAAAAGCTCGAGGAACGAACTAGCCACATCGACAAGCCACGTCTCCGTAAGTCCCCGGCCACAATTGACCGTATCCACATTGACAACGCAAATGGAAGAAACAATTCTACTAATTCCACAGGTCGCGCACACATTCATACATACATACAAACAGAATGTGGGACTGAACCAAAACTACCGAGGATGATTGCGAAATCTTGTTCAACCTGGGCATCGGCGGGGAGGTACTGGTGCTTCATGGAGAGGTCCATGGCGCGCTTGAGGCGCTGGTTGCGGGCGTCCACCACCTCCCGCGGCAGCCGCGCCAGGGCCTCCTTGATGTCGAGGTCGTGGTAGGGGTCGTACAGGTCGTCGTACCGGAGCCCTGCGCACACCAGAACCCCCGATCAGAGATCCCTCGCCGCGGCAAAACCCTAACCCTAACCCTAGCGGCGGAATTCGAAGGGGGGGAGGGGGCAGCTCACCGTATTTGCGGAGGCGGGAGGCGACGGCGTTCATGTGGAGGCGGGCCAGCGGGTTCCGCCGCGGGTTCACCAGCCACGCCGACAGGGAGGACAGCATCTTCGAGAACCTTCCAGAAGCTTCCACGCTCTCTCTCTCTCTCTCTCTTCTCCGATGTGGCGGGTGCTTTGCTTGGGTTTGGTTTGACGAGAGAGGAGACCGTACGGTTGCTTGGCTTTGGGTGGTTGGGGTTGGGCCGCGAAGCTTGTGGAACATTCGACGGTGATGGGCCGATGGGCCGGCCCATCTTCATTTAAAAAAATATCAGAGTAAATTTCATTTTCGACTACCTTTTTATTGCCGATGTTTCAGTTTGGGCCACCCTTCAACCAATGTTTTCACTTTGGACTAGGTAATTTTACCATTTTGTCACTTTAAAGTGCACTCAATTTTTTTATCCATCTACTTTGTTCTATGTCAAAGCAATGGTCTACATACAACTAAAGAGGTTTATTGATGAATAGGAGCTGACATATTCGAGGTCGTTCATACACTTGAGAAAAGAGTTAGGGTGGTTCAAAATAAAACAAAGGTAAGATTATCCAGTCCAAATTAAAAAAACATTAGTTAATCTATGGTCTAAAGTGAAATATTGGTAATAAAAAGTAACCCAAAGTGAAATTTACTATGAACTATGAAACTGATGAATTTTTGAGTCTTTGTAGGAATTGAATTAATTCCTGTGGAACTTATGTCTTGAAGGAGCCTTGGAGAGAACTTGTATTTTGTTTTCGTGCCTCTAGTCCTTTTTGAACCGTGGGTATATTTTTTTCGAATTTCATGAAAATATCATGTGCTCCTCTATTGTATATTTGAGGTGTTTTCTATTTTTCCTAAATCAATTTTTTAAAAAAGTTTGGAGAAGTTGATGGAAAAATGTATACAACACCAAATTAGTTTTTATTAAATTCACAATTAATACATTTTTATAGGATATTTTGTCTGTTTTGTGTTGAATGTGTTGCTACTTTTTTCAACAAATTTGGTCACAATTAAAGAATTTGGACTTAAAAGACAAAATAAAACATCTTATATGATATGTGAAATTCTTATGTTTCAAACGTACCTTAGGTGTATCTTTTAGTAGCTTCTTTTTTCTTGCGAGGTGTCTTTTTTTTTTCGCCCACCTGCTTTACATGAACCATACTCACACCAAAAACATACTAACTCGTACTTAGTTAGAATATAATATGTGCACTTACTTGTGTGTAATCACAAAAAGGAAATGTACAGTTATGCATTGCGGTTGAGAAGCACTACGTGGCAAAGCACCAGCATCATATTCATGTATACTAGTGCTCTGTGTTGCTTTAGCTGGTTAATTAGATGTCATCTGTTTGTTTCGGAGCCGGCACGAATATCTGCCCAATCGCCTCCAATGCAGAGACATCCCAGCTCTCAGCATGTCTAGTGACCTGAACATATTGTAACAGCCAAAATATTCTTAGCTCTTGAATTAAAATGAAAGAGAAAAAAAATTAGAAGGTTGCTTCCTTTTCTTTTCACCTCCTTACCTTGTATTCTTCATCCAAATCATATGTTGTATTCCCTCTGATGGCGATGAGGGGTCTCCATGGAAGCCTTAAATATGTCCTGTAAGAAAAGCATATTAGTTGAACACAAGAAAAAACAAAGTAGTGTGCAGTATTTAATACAAGTTTCTGCTAAATCCTTCTGGGTTCATAGAGATTTTAGTTCAGTTACTCTGAACTTGCAAAAGATGACTAGTTTTACCCCACCTAATAATTAACGAAACAAGATTTAATATTACAGTATCACCTTAGTGTCCATGTTGCCATGATGAACTTTGTTTCAACCCTCAACCCCTGCTTGATTTGCAAAGAGCATCAGGAAGTTGCAAAATGGGTATAGCTTAGACAAAACTTTGACAAATCACACTGTGCCAGTATAACTAAACTAGAAGCTAATCAGTAAAGGCACATCTGCAATAAAAATAGCTTGCATGTTTACTAGCACAATATAATGGCATTCCTTACAGTTCAGAACAGAAGGGCAATCTGGAGATGGAAATTGACATTTGGTAAGTTGGTAGCTACATCAATTTTAGCAAAATGGAATGGAAAAGAAAGAAAAGACAACAACACATGCATTGCAGATGCATCACTGGTCACTTGACAATTTCAGCAAACAGTGTTACCTTTTCAATGTTTTCAAGCTCAAGTGAAGGGCTGTCGAAGAACGGTACAAGCAGATCTAGGTTCTGGGAATATCTAGACCTTCCTACCAAATAACAACAGTGCATTTAGCATAACAAAAATTCATAGTATTTCTTTGAAATTGGAGCGAATCAAATTAAACATTGCTTGACGGGGCTTGCATTGCGCATTTGTGAGGTCAAATAGCAAAGAAAATTATCGCAAACCTCGGAACTTTATTGTCGGGTCCTCAAACAAGCAATCTTCGGTATATATGTCCGGAGTAAAGTTCCCTGATAAGAAAACATCCGATGTTTCAGTGCATTATAACTTCAGATTCTGAAACTATTTGGCATGTGTACTATATATATGGCAGTCGATTAACCTAAATTTTAAGTTCTATGTAACCATCATCAGTACTAAAAAGTGAAATTAAATGTGCAATTTCCAACTCTTCAATTTATCTTATGTTCTCTATGACATGGCAGCATCAACAGACAGAGAAAACTCATACTACATACCAGTGAGGAAATATGCTCGCTGGTAATCGGCTTCAAGAACAGCAATCACATCATCCACGCTGCGCGGCGAATCCAACTCTGCTCCTCCTCCTCCTTCATCTCCCTTCTGAAGATCATCATCAACAACTCTGCACCCTCAAATTGAATCCCAGATGCTTGCATCATCAGCAAATTAGAGAAGAATTCTCAAAAACCAAATGGTGAACAGCAACATCAGATGAACTCGAGCACTTTGCATGCCTGGGGTTCTTGGGAGTCAGGACCCTGAGTAGCTCGGTGACGGCGCTGACCGCCGCCCTGACGAGCGGCGGGGCGCCGCCGCCGCCGCTGTCCGGCGAGCCGGAGCTGCACCGGACGCCGCCGGGGAGGCGGCGATGGCTCTGCAGAATCCTCCATTTCTCTGATCCACACCATAGCTGAAGAACTGCGTTTCTGCCGCGAGAGGAGAGGGAAGCAGGCCGTTTGGCGGTTAATCTTGGCGCCATTTTTCTTTTTCTTTTTTGTTTTTGCAGTTGGCTCATACACACTACATGCTGCTACTACTACTACATGGAAATTGGAAAGCATTATTCTCAATGTTGCAGAGGCAGATCCAGAGGCAATGGCCAAATGGCAATCCAACCACAAGAAGCTCACACTTGGACACTGCTGGGGATCGGCAGATTGTGAGGTGCTCAAGGTGACACGCCACGCCAGCCAATGGCAGTTGCTGTTTTGCCAGAGAGCCCAAAGAAAAACACAAGTCGCTTTGATTTTTTTTCCCAATTAAGCTTTAGAAGTATGATAAAATTTATGGAAAATTATAGTAGTGTTTTCAATATAAAACAAATATATTATAAAAATATATTCAACGTTAGATTCAACGAAACTAATTTGGTGTTTTAGATTTATTACTATTTTTTTTCTATAAATTTGATTAAAACTAAAAAAGTTTAATTTGTAGAAAAATTAAAGTGACTTGTAATATGAAACGGTGCTGCCTCCATGATGGTGCTGGCGTGCTGCAATCCATATTCTGACCAAACCAAAAATTTCAGTGCTTTAGGTATGCTTAGTGTTATCCTAGATGTAAAAGATGATGATCATTTCATTTTCAATAGGACATGGAAACTTCAGACTTCAGGCATGGCAAGGGGAAAAAAGAGTCAAATTTCCACCATCCAGTATCGACGAATTTCAGTCACAACAATTCAATACTACCTCCTTTGAATATTTTTTTTCTATATTCCATATTTTAGTTGCGCACACTTAGCACACTATCTCACAAGACATCTCACAAGGTAATTTTACTGTCCTTGATAAATTTTACTGTCCTTGACAAGGTACCGACTTGGTACCAAAATTTTAAGATACCAACAGCTTACTAGTGTAAAATTTAAGTAACTCGTACTTTTAAGTATCTAAAATTTCTCATCTCACAATGTTCAAAATATACTCCTTATAAAAACTCTAAAGCTGCCTTATAAAGTACAGCAGTACTCACCAAATTTAAGCACCATCTCTCACAAGATTTTAAGTGATGTGTGCACTATATAAACATCATCATCATCATCAATGGGTTCAATGATCGGTTAAGCTGAACAAAACACACGCTGCCTGATGTAATCCCGTATGCCACCTTTGGTTCCCAATCACAAATTCACAATAACGAAGAACACACCATTGACGGGCGAACGAACGATCGTGTCAAGGCAAAAAGGGCAGCAGCAGATTGGACCTAAATGCTCAATCAAGTAGGATTTACATGAGAGTCGCTGCGGAAATCGCCTACTACACCCAGGAAGCTGTTTTTGTTTTGGGCATAGCAATCCACTCACTCCAGCATGTGTCATTTGAGGAAGCTCAGCTTGTCTGAAGGGCCTCGACCTTACCCCTGGCCTTCTCGCTGTCGTCGACAATGAGCTTCTTTCGGAGGGCGAGCAGCTCCTCTCCTGCACCACAGATGTAGGCCGCGGTTCTCCTGCCTGAGAGAGTTGCCCCTTCCATGCTGTCAATGTAGTCCTGCAAACAAGATAGCAGATTATGAGTTCATGGGATCGTCGATCATGCTTTTACAGGAGCAGTTATATATGTTTCATCCAATATTACGAATATCTACCAAACGAACCTTCCTGCTTAAAATCTAAATTTACAGAATCAAAACAATTGTATTTGATGAGCGCTGATTGATTACTGGTGACAGTGACTAAGTCAATGGTTTAGATACCTGTTTTGTGTAAGAGCCAGACAGGAAGAAGTTTTTAACTGGTGTCTTTTGATCAGGTCTAAATGGATCATTTCCTGGTGACTCGCGGTACAATGATTGACCGATTTTCACCACACTCGACCATGTAAGTTCCAAGCCTTGTGATGACGGGAACAATTCTAAGACCTGCATGAATCATAAATGGATTTGCACTGAAGTGAGTTTTGAAAGAATGAAATAATTAACAAAAGCAGAAGAAATTATCCTGATTTAAAATTAACACGCTTCATTATTTGCAATGGATCTCTAACAACCAGTTCTAGAATTTTGGTAATGGAATACAAGAATAATTTGATCAACAGAGTGGTATTTACAAACCCACCTGCTTTTGAACCTTGCTAATTATCTCCTCATTCGGCAATGGCATGTAAGGATCGCCAGGGGTTAGCACAGCTCTACAAATGAAGTAGTAGCACACGGTGATTTTAATTGCAACAGTTATCAATTTGATGCATGAAATTCAACAGTTCTACTACACTAGTCACCAAGTAAGCTGCTTGTGTAAAAATAAACCATAATTACAAACTAACAGCTACAATAGTGAATGATATCAAATGTCAAGAACACTGAATGGTCAAACTTAATTCCAGACCACAAAAGCAAAGAACATGGAAGAGAAAGTAGCCTTACTGGATCAAGGAACCTTGTCCTTCAATGTAGTAGTCAGCAGGAGATGAAAGTGCAAGGTCTGAAAAACATGAAAAATCTGCATCTGGAGTGTAGAGAAGATTATCCAAGCCAACTGCCTTTTTCAGTTGTCTACATCAAAGATAAACAGAGGTATCATTCAGCATCATGCAAAAAAGCAGACTGCATTTGTACGGCCATTGTTCAGTACAAACAAATGCACTCTTTATGAAAAAATATAATGTGTGCATCACGGGCATTGATAAAAATATTGGGCTAACTGGGGAGGGGAGACTGGAGTTACCTTGATTTCTCCAAATCTTGAAGTTCTGTAACCCATCCATTATAACGAAGCTGTACTGTGACTACAGGAACACCATCTAACTTGTAGATGTTGTCAAATGTATCCCATTGCCTCCATTCAGAAGGTAAAAGTCTTTTGATCCCCGGGACATCACAAGCTACAATCAACAATTCCAATTTAATCTTGCATGGTAGGACGTGGTAGTCAAAGACAAAATGGAAGAGAAAGAACCTGCGACATATGCATCTGCTTTGATTATCTCTCTACTTGTAGCCTAAAAATGTCCAGGCATGGCAAAAGTGTCAATTAAAGTATCAAGAAAAGGGTTAAGCTAAGCCTACAGCAATGCACATTATTATCAACCATAATCTAGCTGTACAGTCATGCAAAGGATAACCACACTTCATAGATAATGGTGCTAACCTTGGATAGGAGAAGGCCTTTAACATAGGTTTCCCCATCAGGTGACTTATCATAGAGAACCTCCCTACATCCCCACCTCAGGTGAAACCTGAAGGATTTGTTAAATGATGTAAGCTTTCAACGGTGCAGTACATACTAATGCAAAACAAATTTCGGTCTTTGCCATCATACCTACCACCCCTGTCTGTTATGTACTTCTTTATTGGACCACTCAGATAAACATCAGGTGAACCCTTTAGCATGCGTAATAAAGATGCCTCTGTTTTTGTGGCAAACAGAGTGAAAATGGTAAGCATGCAACGTGCACTGATATTATCACAGTCAATGAAACCAAGAGCATAGGCAACAGGATCCCACATCCTTGTGATGCTCTCTCGAGTACCACCTTTCGACAAGAACCAATCGCTGAAACTTACCTGAAAAAAGTACACTTGCAAATTAACCTTTAGATAGAAGCTATCTACCTCTGATTTTTCATTAATAACAGTTCTACGATATTTATAGTGCATATGTTTATATAACTAATTGTGATGAGAATGAAACAGAAGGAAGTGCACTAGTAACCTATGTTCCAGATTCGAGATATAATGATGCATTGCCTAGACAGTAGATATACACTCCTAATGACACTTAAATAAGAGGAGAGAGATACATACATCATCCAAATCCCGTACTTGCTGCAATGCACCATCTGGATCAACAAGAGCTCGAACAACTGGGCTTAGAGCAAGAGCAACGGCATTTCTTGCTTTATCATAAACCTGAAACATGATTCAAATATTTTAATTAGTCCATATATTGAATCCATCTAACAAATATGTACTGTATAAAATAGATGGGCAAAGTTGAAGGTTTATGAATCCTTATAGAATCCTTAACAAATATGCTTATCACCCTTATAGAATCTTTCAATTATGAATTATAACAAGATTTAGAAGAATCCATATCACATTCTATCTGGTGACATGGCAATCAAGAACTAGCTATGCAATTTGCATATATAGACAGGTAGGAAGACATTACAATGCTTTGATTCATGACAATACAAATATCACAGAAAGCCACATCTTTAGTAGATTATCACAGTCTGCAAGGAATATTAAACAGACCAATCACTTTTAGGAGCTTTCAAGGAATATTTACACTCAACTCAGCTGATTACATTGTGCCCCAAAGCGCCAAGCACTATATTCAAAAAGTAATGGCGTGTGACTAAAAGGTATGAATACAGAGTATAAAAATGAGGATACTGTTAGAAGCGTGGGCATGACTTTGACAGAGTTCAAAGCAAGAATATTACAATAAGTTGGAAAGTCAAAATATTGTGATTAAACATGGTCAATAAAGATAGTCAAAGTTTGATATCCTAGTTACCGGACATGAATTTAGAGTAATTACCTTGAGTTGGTTAGTTCGTAGGAATGCTTGGATACCATGTAACGGAGCTCCCACAGGAAACCGAAAATCAAGTTCTGTATAGCAATTAGCAAAGCAAATAGTATGAAAGTTTAGAAAATAAGTGGAATATAAATACATAGCAAAATACACTTGAGTTAGTTTAGCACACTTAGTAGAAATATGGCAAGTTGTCTTATCAGTATTGGCCTAATGCAAGATCAAGAAAATAACACGCCAGAGCACTTTTTTTTTGCCGCCCACAAAAGAACAATTAGTGTTCTAGCAAATCGTCTCATAGTAATTTACACTTTGTAAACTTTAAATATTAGCAACGGTTTAACTTTCTATGAAAGGTAGCTCAAAAGTAATGAAGAATGATTTCAGCACGACAAGTAAAAAAACACCACAACTCCTACAACTGTTAGGCACATGGGTATAGGATAACTGAACATACCACCAATCGTGCCTCCTTTATTTACAAATGTATGGGTATGCTCCTTCACTAGCAGATTATTATCAGCTCCAACCTGAAACAAAATAAGGTTGAACTCGATTAACAGTTAGTGTCAAACCTGGCTAATACAGAAAAAGTACAAATTATCCGACTCATGAAATAAAGTAATTGACTACATGCTTCATATAGACAAAAATAAAGATAGCATGTTCTCCTCACAATATACTCCGGGAGTACAGATTTACCATACTCTAGTAAGTGCAAACAGATGGCATTCCTAACTTTTCATGATGGAAGAAGCATCTAACTCAGCTCCATTATCTACTTAGTGCAGTCTAGATTAACAAAATACTTGAAAAGTAGACATTCTCCAACCATCTGAAAGAACATAGAAAATTACCTTCTTCATAAGGCGGAAAAGATTGCTGTAACACCCGAAGAACACGTGCAGCCCCATCTCGATATGGTTCCCTTTCCTATCCACAAAAGAACCGACTTTGCCGCCGATAAACGGCCGGGACTCGTACAGATCAACCTGCAAAAGAGGAACATCACCCCAATTTTGGTAAACCAAAAATCACTGTCTTTTCCCTGGAAGAGCAGAACACGGACATCATTGCAGGCAATGAATTGAAGAAACCTCATGGCCCTGGTCCAAGAGCTCCACCGCGGTGGACATGCCGGCGAGGCCGGCCCCTATGATGGCCACCTTCAGCTTCGGCCCCCTGTAGTGCTCCGGCTCCGGCGGGAACAATCCTTTCGGAGCTGCCACACACGGAAAAAAGATCCCCAATTCAATTGCTTTCAGCCTTTCACAGTCAGCAGCATATTCAGGTAATCCTGTAGAAAGCTACTGAATGAACCTAGAAAAGAAGAATCTAGCTACTACACATGGTCAGACTCATCACAAGCAACAACTAACTAACTAACTAATCCACAAATTCAGTTCAGTTCAGAGCCACCAAAATCCAGGGTTCAAGAATTTGTGTCTCCTTGGTTCTATCCATATACCAAAACCGTTCAAGAATCTCTAGGGGGAGAGCGGAGTGGCACCGCAGAAGAAAGAATCGACCGGAGAAAACGAAACCCAAGAAACCCTCACCGTTGACGGCCATGTCGGAGACGTTGCTGTCGAGCGAGCACCGCACCCCCACCCCCACCCGCACCCTGGGATTCGGGCACCGGCGCCGCCTCCTGCTGCCGCCGGCGGCGGAGAACGACGCCGGGGCCAGCGTGGACGGCGCGCGGGACGTGGCAGCCATGGCCATATGCCTCAGCTCACCAACCAACGCTGCTGCTAGGAGTAGAGGAGGAGGAGGAGGAGGAGAGTATAAATGGCGTGAGCGCGAGAGGTGGAAGAGGATGCGGGTGGGGGAGGAGGCGAAGATGCCGTCGAGCAGCGGATTTGTCGGCCTCCGTGGCGCCACCACGCGCGCACCACTGAAGTGAACGCCCCTTTTTTTTGGATGGATGGGTGAAGGCTCATTCAGTTCAGACGATTTTCACCAGGATTATCGTAGAATTTAGGGACAATGATTTTTTTTAAAATAAATCGTTTGTTTTGCATGAATGGATTCTACTACTAAATTCCTTAGGATTTTAGTCTTACAAGCTAAGCTAATTTCATAGGATTCTTAGCATAAGATGATACTACCTCTTTGTTCTTAAGGAAATTTCGTAAGGAAAAGTGTACGTGTGACATCCTAATTCTTTATTTTCTCTATTCTTTGATCTGGAAATTATATAAACAAAAATAAAGGGAGAAAGCGACAAAAAAAAAGAAAACAAAACAAAAACCTTGTGACTGGGGGTGCTCCCCCTTTGTGCTAGGCGCACACACAATCACACACACATGAAGCGTGATTTTAGATTTCTTTGGGGAGGTTCGTAGCTTCTCGAATCTCCGCCTCTCAGAAGTAAATTTTACATAACTACGTAAGTTTTCACCAAAATATCGTAAAACTATAAGATTTAGCGTTAACTTTATCACAAAATTTCATATTTAATATTGAAGTTATCGCAAAACTACAAATCGTATTGTTTTAATCCAACACTATTGTTGTGCGCGAGCTATAGACATGTAGTTTACTGATTAAATTGCCACTAAATTTGTAGTTTTGGGATAAATTTGCTACTTAAAATGTCTGTAGTTTTCCTATAACTCTATCTTAAATCTATAGTTACATGATAATTTGTTGCTAGATCTGTAGTTTTGTGATATAAACACCTTAAATCTTAAATATATAGTTATACGATAATTCGGTTAAATAATTTACTCTTTTAAAAATAAGAATATACAGTTGTACGATCTAGAAAATTATGTGCTTGGTAAAAACTTAAAAATGGATTAATATAATTTGCGAAGTGAGCGCAACTCAACTGGTTAGATTTCCTTGTGGTGGAACCAACTCACCCCGGTTCAAGCCCTAGACTTGATACAAGTGTTCGCATTTATGGCTAATTATTCTCTCAATGGTATACGATATATCCGTCGATAGTGAGGCGTCCGTGGTGATTTCTTCAATCTCAAGATATGCCGGCCCAATCTTTCAGATGTACTCATAGGGGTAGGGTGTGCATGTGTTCACACGTTATGAGCATCTGCGTTTGTACTGTGTTTCTAAAGAAAAGATTAATATGTTTTTAAGCCCATCTTTCCCTATGGAATTTCTTTTTTTTTCGCATAAAGCACACCTTTTACTCGTTCAGAAAACACACATGTGAAAAGTGAGAGGAGAAGTTGGAAAAGTGTATTATATAATACACTCTTACGGAACTTCTGGTATACCAGTAATCGTGCACGTGCAATGCACGTCTCCGCAAATACATATTTCAAACACAAGCTATGGGTAATGTAACACAAAAAGTGGCGGTACATTCATGTGACATACAACAAAAACAAAGAAAAACCCTAAAGGTACATTTCAAAACCAGATGCCGTGCAAAAAAAATATATATTTTTGAGAAAGCGCACCACTCTCGGTTACCCTGTCTGGTGCTAAGAGGGAGATATCCCAAAGATACATTTCAACCAAGTGTCATCCAATAAAAATACTATGAGAAAGAACATCCCAGTGGAGAGTTACGGTTGCCCTGGCTATACCGTGGGGACATCAGAGTGGAAATTGAAGATGCTTCAATTTATTGTGAATGGATTATACTTCTGTGAGGATTGTGTCCTCCAATTATTCATGTTAGCTTCTAGACAAAGGTGTCAAACAATCTGAGTTTTCTGTTGTAATCACCCACACCTATTTTGAACTTCCTCTGTTTATCTGCATTCTAAACCTGAAAGAACATGACAGACAAATTAACATATCAAAATTCTCTAAATCTGAAAGACATGCAAACAAATTAACATACATGTCTCACCGTCTTCTTTGAGTTATACATGTACATTGACTGCCACTCTAAATACACCCTTCCACATATTTCCAGGTCAAGCAGTACATGCTATTTTTCTACAACAATTTACCAGTGGTAAAACTTCTAAACGCTGAATACTGCATAATTGGATCTCCTAAGATGGCTAGCACTTGGTATGAGTCCAAAATTTAGGCACCTTTGCTTGATTGTAGATCTGTCACAAGCAATCTTCCTATTTCCACAAAAAAAATCTATTTTTTGCAAGCATGTCTGTCAAACTACAATCCAGGTTTCTACTCTGAAGTATATAAAACCGTGGCATTATATTACCTTGATCCCTTTCAGTGAATAACTGAAGTACCTTGGATATTATACAACATGCTTTGAGTGGCTTTTTATGATTCTTAACGGAAATTCAAGCTTTGGTTTCATAACAAGCTCAATACTGTAGCTGCAGAAGTGGAGAGAATCTATAGCTCAATGAGCACACATTTTTCTTAGACAATCCCATATCCAAGAGGTAGTTGATTCACTAAACATTTGAATACTGTCAGACCTGAGGTGAAATCCTTCTTTAAAACATTATTAGAAAGCTAAAAAGACTTTAAAAATGCAGAAAAAAGCAACTATAATCAACCAAGTTGGCACTGTAATTCATCAGAAAAAACAATTCTTGAAATCATCATCTGCAAACACAAATATTTAGTCCTCTCTTAAATTCATTAAAATTGACATTTTATGAATATGAATTTAGAGAACAGAAAATAAGAAATTTGAAGTGATAAAGAAGCGTGTTCATAAGCAGGTATCTCAGGTTTCGCTAGTCGGTGGGCACAGCGGTCAGGATCAAGCTATAAAATTCACTTATAGAAGGAATATCTGTAATTCGTTAAGCCTCAAAATTCTTCCTGTTTCTCCTCAGCCTTAACAGTAATGACAAGAAAAGGTATTCTTTTTTCTTTCTCGAACACGAAAATTGAGTATTCTTTAAGTAATGGCAAAGGAAAAATATAGCATTACAGAACATGACGAAAGAAGTTGTGAGGCATCAAATAGTTCGATACCTAAGCATTGCATGAAAAAAATTAGTTGCTAAGCTATATGGTTCAGATTTTGCAAGACTTGTGTGCATGCTAGTTTTTTTTGGACGCCTAGTAGGAAACTGTCAAGTGCCAACTTACACTTCTCAAAGTGTCAAGCACCTGTGTCTAACTACATATCCATGAAAATCAAGCAAGTCTTCTCAAATAATCTTGCATTCTCAAAACGACATAATTGTAAACTTGGTTGCTCAAGGATAACAAAAGTGAAGTGTTTGCTAAAAAATGATTAATTTGAATGAGATACACGCCTTATGATTAACAAAACCCCTCAGCTGTTAACATGCAAAATATCTGTGCATCAAGTGAACTGCAGAAGGCTTTACACCATATGGTGAAGATGGCAGCGGACTACATGGTGATGGATGTATTGTCGTGCTAAATCCTCCCATCTCAACTTCCAACCACAGAAGTTCTTCTCCCATCTCAAATTTTCTGTTCAAACTCCATCTTGATTGAATTCATCAATAGCTTGTGCTGATTTTAGCATTTTCCTGCAAGGTTTGCAAATTAGATATGCTTATGAGAAGGACAGAATGGATGCAGCACATAATTTTAGATTAACATAAACATATTTTATATGGGAATTAAATAAGTAGGGGTCTTCAGCCCATTGCAGCAAATATCTAGCAGTCAGAGCATCTCTAAGTAAAAAGATTGATCACAACTTGACCATGTTACATGTCATGTTCTTACTACTGCTTAGTACAACTTAATGAGGTCAAACTCATGTACTTATGACAAAAAAATTAGGCTTCACTTTTTTTTTCGTCATAATGCACAGTCGAGTAGTAGACCAATTAGAACACACTGCTAGATCAATATCAATATAAGTTAGTCAACCACCTAAAAATCACTGCTAATTGACATGGCATACACATACTTTGGATAGAGCAACAATTCACAAGAATTGACAGAGAGCAAATGCATAGTTACCTGACTCTTAGAGGAACTCCTTGAGGTCGAGACTTAAGTTGATAGATATTTGTGACCTGATACCGTGTACGAATAAAATATTTGCCAATCACTTTCACAACTCCCTGAGTGTGTCAAGTGATTAATCAGGTGTGCAGTTAATTCTATAGAAATTACTCATCATTGGGTATGGTGCTCATCCTATATCAGGGCATCCAATGTTTTATAGAGAAATTAAGAAAATGGAGGAGTGGGAGCTGTTGTTACCATTTTATTTACCTGCCCTCTGTCCTTGCCATTGTTGATCTCATGATCTGTAGTTCTACACACAGGAAACATTAAAGGTTAAACTTGCTAATACTTACCCAATATAGTTCCAAGCTTACAGGCAATCACCCAATAGGCCAATAACTGATGGAACATAGAGATCGTTTGATGAATAATTGTGTGAAACATGAAGAATGAAAATAATTCAATTGTTTCGAAACATATCATTCCCTCGATCTAGGGAGCAATACTGAAATTTTTTTCCCTAACTATGATATCAATTGCAAACCAAGAACTGACACGACTTGCAAGTGCATGCCTCGTACCATCTGATTATGCTAAAAATAGATCCATCAAGAAAGATGCATTGAGAATTGACATGAAAACTTATGCCATTGAAAAGATCACTTTATAATAAAATACTCACAAGGGAATCAGTGTAAGAAAAATGAAATTCTTGGCAAGAAATAGGAGAGGTTACCTTGCTTCGTCATGGAGATGGCTGGGATGAGGTGCAGCGGCACTGTTCTTGGCAAGGGAGAGCGAGGGGTCGGCGGTGCGACTGATCTTGCCGATGGCGAGTGAGTGGCTGGCAGCGGCGCCAATCTGAGAGAGTTGGGGTGAGGTGGGAAGGAGGAAGCGTCGTCGAGGCCGTGCTCCGCGGGAGCAGAGACTGGTTTTCGCTCCTGGTGGATCTCCGTCGCGCCACCTCAAACTCCGTCGTCAGGCGGATCTCCGGCGAGGCTGCGTACAGCGGTGGTGAAGGAGATGGCCAGCAAGATCAAGCGGAGGAGGAGGCTGAGCGATTTTGTGGATGGTGAAATCGTGTGTAGGCTAATCGATTTTGTGGAGAGCGATATCAAGGGGAAGAGGAAGCTATCGGCAGCGTGATTTCAGGGGAAACGATTTTTTGCTGCGCCAGGGTATCAGTGCGCGAAGGGATTTACAGCGGCGGGGATGGGGATTCGGTGCGTTCACACGTGGGCCCAGTTTTCTCTGATTTGGCACGTATGATTGGAGGGCAAACTACTCATTTTTATATTAGTATAGATGTAGCTTTTTCTACAATCTCCGAATGTGAAAAGCTCTCCTAAACAATTTAAATTGTAGTAATAGAAAGTTGTAGAATCTAGAAAAAATGAATTAGAAAGCAGAAATTAGAAAACTCAAACTTTTCCAGATTCTCGCAAGCCAGCTTCTTAAAATCTTAAGCTTCCTTGTTTGAAAGTAATGAAGATAAAGATTAAGTACTACATGTACGTAAAATGGGAAAGTTTTTAGCACATGATTAATTGAGTTTAATTATTTTAAACTTGGAAAAGAAATTTATCTAATATTTTAAAGCAATTTTTATATATAGTTTTTTTTGCATGAAATATATTGTTCAACAGTTTGAAATGTGTACTGATTAAGATAAAGTCTGTACCATAATTAAGAAAAAACATGGCCGGCTAGAGAATGTCCGTGTCCTTGGGAGGTGCTAGTAGCATGTACTAAGCCACTGTTTGGAGAACTAGTCAAAAGTTATTTTAAAAACTGTTTTTTAGCACAAGGAAATAGCCCTAAGTTGTCAAGAGTTATTTTAAGAGTTATTTTTTAGCACAAAGAAATAGTCCTAAGTTGTTTGGATCCAAGGGTATTTTGAGAGCTATTTGGCCTTTAATGCACTTTCCCATGGAGAGAGACAAAAAAACACTTTTTCAGTGGACCCCACCTGAAATAGCCTCAATTAGCACTCCTTGAGAGGGATAGTTTTTTTTGGTGGGTTGTTTCCGAATAACTTTAAAATAGCTTATCTGTTTAGAACTTTTGAGCTATTTAGGACTATTTAAAGGAGGGCTAAAAGATAACCCATGGATCCAACCAGGGCATAAGACGACTTTCTTTATTAGATGGGTCTTGACAAAGACTTCCCTATGTGAAAAAACTGTATACAACTCCATGCAAGTATATGAAAAATTAGAAATGAATCCACTACTCATTGGTAAAGGAGAAAATCTCTTGTATACCTCTAAAATTTTAGCTAATCACTTCTATACCCTTAAATTTTGCTTACTTCTTTTTATACCCAAAAATTTGATTTTATCCCTTCATGCTCCTCATATTAGTTGACCGCCTAATTTCTATAAAAATGACCATTTTTACTCTTTGGATAAACATAAAAAATTATGAATTGTATTATTGAGAATGTAAATGTTTGTTACATGAGACTATTATAGTTATGAGTTTGTTGTGCGATACATTATTTTTGACAAAATTTGTTTTTAGATAATAAAATAAAATATATATATTTATTTTTTTAGAAAAAAGACGTAAAAATGAGGAGCATTCGTATAAAGATAGTACTACAGATGCTCACGATATTTTTTTAGTGCTCCCGATAAAAAAATCTATTGTTATATTAAATTTCAAATAAAATTTTAATTTATTACATTTGTTTTATTTTTAAAATCTATGTCAAAATCTATCTGCAGAGAATGATTGATTTATCCTCCCTATCTGCTGCAAAAATCTACAGTATAACTGTAAGAAGAATCTATATTATTGTAAACTTAAAAAATAGATTAATATGATATTTTAGAACAACTTTCATATAGAAAGTTTTCGCACGAAACACACCGTTTAGCAGTTTGAAAAGCGTGCCACAAAAATCTTAATCTTAATCCAACTCTAATTGGAGAAAAGAACGGGGCCATTGTTGCACACGGACCATATAATTTTTTTTTGAAATTGTACTGTTGAAGTTATTTTTTCTTAGAAATATACGAGATTCCAACAAATTTATATGAATAGACCGTCGTGGCGGTTTGGCAGTGGAAAATCGCGACGAAATGGCAAGACTAACACGCGATATTGATAATGACATGATGACGCAAGCGGTGTTGCAAGGGGACAGTACGAGACTGCTTTGTCTCGCTGGTTAGCCTAGCGAGAAGGGGGTCCCGCTTGTTCCCCTAGCGACACAGCCGGAATGACGTAATTAATAATCCTAATTAGAGATTAATTAATTACTAGATATGCTAATTAAATAATAATTAATTGTTAATGATGCTAATTCATGAGTTAATCGCGCGAGTTAGAGCAGCCTGCGCGTACCACGATCACTAATTCTCGCGCGCGTGTCGGCGGCGCGCGTTTTAGGCCCAGAAGGCCCAGCGCCACTGCGCCGGCGCACGCCTCCTCCACGCTTTTTTTTTGGTTTTTTTACCTTTTTTTTTCGTTTTTTCCCCACTTTTTGCTGATTATTTTTAATCTTTAGCATGTTTTGAGTTTGAAAGTTTTAAAATTTTGAGTTGAAAATTTTCAAATCTGAACTTGAAAGTTTTTAAATCTCGACTTGAAAGTTTTCAAAATTTTCAAATATGGATTTGAAAGTTTTCGAATCTCAAGTTGAAAGTTTTCAAAATTTTCAAATCTGGACTTGAAAGTTTTCGAATCTCGATTCTCGAGTTGAAAGTTTTTGAATCTGAGTTGAAAGTTTTCAAATCTAAGTTAAAAATTTTTAAAATTTGACTTTAAAATTTAAAACTTGAATCAAAAGATTTCAAATCTAACTTAAAATTTTTTCAATCCGTTAGTAAAAAAAGTCCCCAAAAAATATCCAGAATCTTTCCTAATTACTATCATTAGTGTTAAGTATATTAACTAATATAGGTAGTTAAGACTAAAAGGGGAAGTGCACGCTAGCGGCACGCACGCGCTAGCTAGGAGCCCCCGCGCGTACATGCCACGCGACGTCGCGCACCCACTGCGCTGGTATATTTCTACCCTTTAAACGTGTATATTCATGTAAAATCGATGAAAAAATATATATTTTTTAAAAAATTCACTGACCATAGATGAACACATTCTTAGTGGCAATATCTGATGAATGCCATGTGATCATGCATATAGTTTGATTAAGGACATATCGCACATAAAAAGTCAAGAAAATTGGCGTGGCATAATTGTTGGTGAATATTTAGATAATTGTTACCGTGGAATATTTTGGACAACCGTTTGGAAGGTTCTCTAAATATATGATTTATGAGGAAAATCACATGTAAAAACCAGAAAATTATATTATTATAGATTTGGATATATATATAGCTCTTGTCTAGCTCCAAAAAGTAAATTTCATGCTGGACATTTTTATGTATGAATTACTATCAAGTATGGATTTGAAACATTGTATAATCATGCGCATCCATCTTTTTCTTATGCTTATGATTTAAATTTTAAATTTTAAAACTTAATTTTTAGAGTTGACTTTGTGGGTTTCCATCGTTTATAACATTCAAACTAAGAATGTGTATATAAAAAATATTAACCATAAGTTAATGTGTTTTTTTATTTGCTACTAATATAAGTCATACTTCCTGCGTAAAAAAAAAAACTCAATCCTAAGTTGGGTATTTTTTACGGAAGGATTAGAGATAAGTATATGCACAAGCTAAATGGTGGAGCTTCGCTCATTAAATGTTTGATAGTAGGACCCACATATGTTAGTAGATGTTAGGGGGGAAAGTAAGCGTGTGGACATAGACAACAAGAGGCATGCATTGCATTTTGTTTGGGCGGCAGTAAGTGCGCCTTATCGAGTCTACCTCCCATGGTCGTGGGTGAAGCACCATGGTCGGCGACCAATATCCTCTTTTTCGTTTACTTGGACACCCAACGTACACCTCAGCCTCTTTCCTTCCACTCCAAAATAAGACCAGTGAATAAATGAATCATTAACTCTCCATTAGGTTTAGGAAATCTTGCAAACCACTTTAATTGTGTGTATTAAAAATTATTGGTGAAACCGTTTGTGTGCCTGTTAATTAATCGAGGCAAAAATACTATGTAAATGATTTTCGTATGTTCCAACTCCCAAACATTGCTTTTTCACATGCGTCTCAAAATGTCCAGCCACCTTTGCCTCAATGTCAATGGACAACCTGTGGAAATATAGAAAACCATATGCAGTAATGGTTTCAAACTTTTAAAATTCATGGAAAAAATCACTTTAAGTTTGATTGAGGTGAATAAAATAGCTCTGTGATCTTTACAACAATTAATTCACAAAATATTTTATTCACCATAGCCGGACTAAAAATGTTTTTTTTCATAAATTCTAAATGGTCCAACATCATATACTCTCTGTTTCCGAATATAAGTATTTTTATGATGTAGATTGTGTACTCCCTCTATCATAAATAAAGTACTTTTGAAACATTGATAAGTCAAACTTTTTGACTTTGATTGTCAATAGCAAAAGAAAATCATAGAGATTACGTATGCAAGAATAATTTTACTAGATTTATGGTGAAACAGACTATCATAATGTTTAACTCTATCTATTTAGAATAAAGTTATCTTTGTAGCATATCCAAACATGCTTATATTTATATTTATAGACGAATGGAGTATATAATATAAGCATTTCCAAGGCACTGATTCCAATTAATTCACGGGAATCCAATCATTTCGGTTAATCATGTGCTTAGGTGGGAAATCCAAGCAATTTAAAATTCAAATTTTGATCAATAAGGAGACTAGAACATAGGGCCTGTTCACTTTGATGCCATTTTCAACCTTACCAAATTTTGGTAAAGTTACAACAAAAAGTGGCTATATTTAGTTTGCTGCTAAATTTTGGTAACTATATAAGAAATCCTGCCAAAATTTGGTAAGTTCTTTTTAGCATCAAAGTGAACAGACCCATAATCTTTTCCCTTGGGCTTAATCTCTACTAATTAAACAACCTAAAAATGCTTATATCTGAAACTGATGGAGTATTTAAAATAGACGTAAATTCATCCTGAAATTTTTACAATTTGGTCCTTTTTGAAAACTTATTTTACAAATAGACCCCTGGGAAAACTTAAACCGGAAATAGTCCTTTTTGGGGCGCCAGAGTGGCTGGCGCCGTACCCCAACATAGCGGCGCCAGCCACACTGGCGCCGTGCCCGTGCCACCGTGGCACTAGGGCTGTCGTGGAGGTGCTGACTGGGCAGAAAGGGGGCGCCAGCCACACTGGCGCCGCCCCTCGTACCACGGCGCCAGCATAGCTGGCGCGCCCCTCCTCTGTGCCTTAAACCCCGTGGGCCCCACCACCTTTCTCCTCCCCACTCCCATTTTCGCCATTCCCAGCCCGAGCAGCGAGCTGCTGTTCTTCTCCCTCTCTCTCCCCCTCACCTCTCCACCTCAAATCCACTCAATTTGAAGCCGTATTTCGCGGGATTTGTTGTGGAAATCGAAGAGAAAGGTAGACTCCTTCATTCCCCCTTCTTTTTTTTCATTTTTATTGGTTGAATTTGTAGATCGGTGGGTAACCCTAGAACCCCTTTTTTACCCAAATTTGTGATTTTTAGCATTTGTTCTTAGGATTGGCTTGTTGTAGTGCTACATGTTTGCAATGTACTCATTGGTGTCATGATTTTTTTAACCATATATGTGGTAATGTTAATTTTTGGATGGTTTGGTTGGATGGATGGATGAAAAATTATGGTTGAGGCATGACGGAGGTTTGGGTTGTATGATAGAGTATTTGTAATATTATGATGAGTTGTTGGATAAAGATAAGTGGTCTCGTGCATACGATAGAAATGGCCGCCGGTGGGGTTACATGACAACCAACATGGCCGAACAGTTCAATAGCGTGCTAGTTGGTGTTCGTAAGCTTCCAGTGACGGCCATCATATCATTTACGTTCATGAAGTGCAATGACTACTTTGTGAACAGACATGATGAAGCTTTGAAGCGAGTCCAGTTAGGGCAGCGTTGGTCCACCAAGGTTGACAGTAAGATGAAGGTGCAAGAAAGTAAGGCGAACAAACACACTGCAAGGTGTTTCGATAAGCAGAAAAAGACATACGAGGTCACAGAGAGGGGTGGTATAACGCGTGGTGGTGTTAGATTCGGCGCAAGAGCCTTCAAAGTTGAAGGTGAGGGGAACTCATGTTCTTGCCAAAGGCCATTGCTCTACCATATGCCTTGCTCATATCTTATACACGTTTATCTGATTCATGCAATTGATAAGGAATCTCCCAACCGAATGCCGTATCAGTTCTCTTCAAGAGCCGTTGTGAAAACATGGGCAAGTCGCTTTGAGCCATACCTCGACCCCACACAGTGGCCATCGTACAATGGTGAAGAATTTGTTGCTGACCCAAATTTGAAGATTAAAACAAGAGGGAAGAGGAGATCGAAACGATTCAAGAACGAAATGGACTCGGGTCTGGGTGGTTCTGGAAGGAAACCACCTTCATGCGTTCAACTTGATGCTGCGCCGGTGCAAAATAGATGCTCGTTGTGTCACCAGGAGGGTCACAAGAAAACTAAGTGTCCTAAGCGTCCAAAAAAGAAGAAGTCCAAAAAAAATTTAAGTGTTAGGGAGGTAAATATTTTGTTTTCCTACTCATGTTCTCGCATTCATTTTCTTTTAATATATGTCACATTGGTAACTAACGGTGAATTTATTACTTTTTCATGTAGGATGGCCGAGGAGGGACAACCGCCGACTTACTACGAGGCCCGTCATCGCGGGGCTGCGATCGAGGCGGGGAGGGTATGAATCGGCATTGATTCACTTGTGCATAAGTATCGGTAGCGTGTATTTGACATTATATTAACTAATTGATTTACAATTGCTAATGCAGGTACTTCAACCGCTCCGAGTCAGAGCTCATGCCCCCCCAGTGTTCGACGATAGGTACATCCCGTACCTAAGGGCTGCCGGGTTGCTCGGGGTGGCCTTGGTCGTGAGCAGAGGAATGCCAGTGTTCAACGCTCCTACGTTGACAGCACTTGTGGACAGATGGAGGCCTGAGACACACAGCTTCCACCTCCCCAGTGGTGAGATGACCATCACTCTACAGGATGTGGCTATGATCTTGGCCCTCCCATTACGGGGGCATGCCGTGACGGGCAGGACAGAGACTCCTGGATGGCATGCACAAGTGCAGCAGCTGTTTGGCATTCCACTGAACATTGAGCAGGGGCAAGGGGGGAAGAAGAAGTAGAATGGAATACCCCTGTCTTGGCTGAGTCAGAACTTCTCACATCTTGACGACGATGCTGAGCCATGGCGTGTTGAGTGTTATGCCCGTGCATACATCTTGCACTTGTTGGGAGGGGTTCTGTTTCCTGATGCTGGGGGTGACATTGCTTCGGCGATATGGATTCCTTTGGTCGCCAACCTTGGTGATCTGGGCCGTTTCAGTTGGGGGTCAGCAGTGTTAGCGTGGACATATAGACAGCTCTATGAGGCCTGTTGTCGTCAGGCACCATCATCCAACATGAGTGGTTGTGTGCTATTGATTCAGATGTGGATGTGGTTAAGACTACCGGTTGGAAGGCCTAAGTGGAGGCATAGCTTCACTCCTTGGCCCTACAATGAGCCAGACATGGAGAAGACAGTGGCCTACCTTTTTGAGAGTACTGCCACTGCACATGCTCGGGATGTGGCATACAAGCATTATGTCAATGAGATGGACTGCTTGCAGCCTCAACATGTAAGTACTTCCAATATCACTTCTAGTTAGACATTTACTTCTTTAATTGAGATACTAACCAACGACATCTCTTCAACTTTTGCAGATTGAGTGGTTACCATACCACACAAATGAGGCTTCAAGCCTGACCCTGAACTCGATGTGCAATCGAGACTCTGACTATTTCATGTACCAGTGCCCATTGATTTGTTTCTGGGCAGTTGAGTACCACCTTCCGCACCGTGTCATGTGACAGTTCGGGAAGAAACAAGATTGGCCGGTTGAGGACATCTCAACTGGAGTTGAATTACACAAGTAAATATTTCTTATCTTTGTTTGCTTTCATTGTCAATGTTCAATTTTGTACCATTTAACCCTTGTCGATGCTCACTACTGTTTCATCACCTTCTACTTGTCTAGGTATGACAGGGTGAGAACAAAGAAGGTGAAAGACTGGAGGCTAGAGCATAATAGATACATTGATGAATGGAGAACAGCCGGAAGGACCGATAGGTACATCGAGACTATACACCAAAATCATCTTTTCTCAGAGTACCTTCGTTGGCTGCATAGGACATATAAACTGTTCCTCCGCCCTACTTGGACGGAAGCCGACATAGAGGATGACCGCGACTCCGATGAGGGGCGGAATCCCTATGATGTCCGGACTAGAGTTGGATATCAAATGGAGCACGCCCCACTTAGAGACAGAGTCGTAAGTTTTCTTGCATTTGTCAAAGTTACTTCCATTTGCACCCTAGACCCTAACATATATCTTTTCACGCTTTCAGTCGAGAGAGCTCCTCAGGAGTGTGAATGAAATGGGGCATGCCCTCTAAGCTCCGAGGGGTGGTGAGGACACGGAGAACACGCTCCGCAATGTTTTAGAGGTAAAATTTATTTAGCACTTTGCATTTACTTGAGTTATGCCTAACAAACTTCTTTTTTTTTTGAAATGCAGAAAGTTCGTCAAAGGTGCCGAAAACTTGCAGCAAGATTAGGTTGCAGGTCGGTTGGATTGGACGACGTGTACCAACCGGGGAGACTACCACCACCACTACCTCAATCCGCGCGTCCAAGTACTGCTCGACACTCCATCAGGATAGAAGAGCGTGAAGGAGTTGGTGGCTCGTCGTCGTCACGCATTAAGCAAGGGAGGGGAAAGGGGAAGGCGCCGGCTCCACCTAGCGACGACGATGACGATGAGGACGAGGAGGATGAGGACTATGTCGCACCAGACGCCGAGGAGATAGACATGTCACAGCTTCCCGACGCGCCTCAGGGGACGCAACCCACGCAATACAACTTGCGATCCACTCGGACAGCGAAAAAGAGGTAAAATGAGCTTACCATTCTCAAATGTTATTTGATTTCCCTTATTTTGTTTTTAAAATGTTTTAAACATTGGATTTTCAAATGTAGGTACACTCCGGGCTCGCAAGCAATTCGGCGCCAACGGAAGAAGTAATTTGTATGAAGTTAATCTATTGGTTGGTAGTATGACATATGTGGTGCACTATGTGATATAAAATGTGATGGACTATGTGAGGACTATGTGATGGACTTTTGACATTGTTTCATGTGTGGAATATAGGATGGACTTTTTGCATTGTTTGATGTGTGGGATATGTGATGGACTTTTGGCATTGTTTGATGTGTGGAATATGTGATGGACTATGTGAGGACTATGTGATGGACTTTTGGCATTGTGATTTGTGCAATTGGAACCTGTTTTAGTCTGTACGAATTTGTGAATTGTGATTTGAATTGCAAACTGTGAATTGGTACATTTGTGCAATATGGATCTTCAATTTGCAGAGAGGCAGAGGGCGGCGCCAACCACCCTGGCGCCGAGGTTGGGAAGGGCGGCGCCAGCCAGTGCCGCGAGGCAGAAGGGTTTCGGGCTGGGGGAGGGCGGCGCCAGCTACCCTGGCGCCGTGGTCCATGAGGGCGGCGCCAGCCGAGGCCCGGAGGCAGAAGGGCTTCGATGGGGGGAGGAGGGGGGCGCCAGCCACCCTGGCGCCGCGGTCGGGGGGGGGCGCCAGCCGTTGCCTGGAGGCAGAACAGACTTGGCGAAAATTTTGGGGGGGGGGAGAAAGTTGGTGGGGCCCGCAGAGGAGGGGCGCGCCAGCCATGCTGACGCCGTGATATGAGGGGCGGCGCCACTTTGGCTGGCGCCCCCTTCGGCCTAGTCAGCACCTCCACGATAGCCCTATTGCCACGGTGGCACGGGCACGGCGCCAGTGTGGCTGGCGCCGCCATGTTGGGGTACGGCGCCAGCCACTCTGGCGTCCCAAAAAAGACCATTTCCGGTTTAAGTTTTCCCAGGGGTCTATTTGTAAAATAAGTTTTCAAAAAGGATAAAAATGTAAAAATTTCAGTAAATTCATCTCCTACAGGCACTTTTTTTTTTCTGTGGTTGTATTAATTCTCTATTACTTAGATGCAGTCGGATGCTCGTAAGCATGGACGTTTACAAACAAAACCTATATCAGTCAATAGTTTCCGGATTTGCTAACTCGCGCGTACTCGCTGCGGGCGAGCACTCCGGCCCACCCCGGCCCACGTGTACACGCGGTCCATGTCGCTCACAGAGGAGTAGTGCGATTAGCGCGAGGGAAACCTGATTAGCATCAGGATTAGCATGCTGATTTTTTTACGAGTAGTTAGGCCGAGTAGTTAGACCGTAATTATTATTTCGGTTAAAGTTTGAAAACTTTCTACTCAAATTTAAAAACGTTTAACTTATATTTAAAACTTTCAATTTAAATTTTAAAACTTTGAAATTAAAATTTAAAATTTTTAAGTCATTTTAAAAAGTTTCAACCCAGATTTGAAAACTTTCAGCTTAAAATTTGAAAACTTTCAACTCAAATTTGAAAACTTTCAGCACAAAATTTAAAAACTTTCAACTCAAAATTTGAATTTTTTGAAGTCAAATTTTTAAAACTTTCTACCTAGATTTGAAAACTTTCAACTCAAAATTTGAAAACTTCAACTCAAATTTGAAAACTTTCAACACAAAATTTGAAAACTTTCAAGTCAAAATTTAAAACTTTCAACTCTATATTTGTAAAGAGGTGTGTGAAAGATTGAAAAAAAATCGGAAAGAAACAAAAAAAAAGAAAAAAGAAAAACGCGTTGGAGGAGAAAAAAAATACGAAAAAAGAAAAAAAAAGCGCAAGGACAGCCCAGCTGACATGCTGCTGGCGCGTACGCGCGCGCTAGGAAGCCCCAATAGTTTCACATGAGTAAGGAAAATGATCATGAGAGGCCTATAAAAGGACCATCATATACCCATATATACATCTCATCTTAGGAATAAGTCCACTTGCCGTCCCTCATCTTTCCGCTGAGTTTAATTGTTATCCTTGAATTGCAATACTAGAAATCTTCGCCCATTATCTTCGCAAAACCATACAAATTAAATCAGATCCCATAGTAGTATGCACGGTCGTTTTAACTGACGTGGCATCATAGTTAGTAAAAAAAGAGCCCCCAATTGTAAGTGGCCTCTAAATCCCCTATTTTCTCTTTCCTGTTTCCCCTTGTTGAAGCGGAGGTGCCGCGGCACCAGGGGCCGACCAAAGGAGGTTGCACTTCTTGCCAGTGGCGGCGCCATCATGAAGCATCAAGGGGCGGGCCATCGCCAGCACGAGGAGCCGGTGGAGATCCATTGCATTCATGCAGTGGTCATGAAGCTTGAAAAAGAGCGCGTTGGTGGAGGAGCCGTCCTTCGGGGTGGCGGCGACGGCGGCGGCCGCGAGTAACTAGCGTATGCATTTGGATGGAGAGGTCGGCAAAGCGGGGGCAACGGAGGTGGCGGTAGATGTGGAAGGCCCTTCTAGTGCACCAGGTTCACCGTTGTGGAGACCACCTTGGCCTCAGTCTCGTGCTCATGCTCGGCGCTGATGGTTGGGGCCACTTTTTTGCTGCGGAGTGGAGAGGGAAGTACTAGAGTGGGCTAACAAGGGGTGAGGAGGAGAGGCAGAGCTCGCCGGGGGCCATCGACTAGAGGGTAGACGAAGCTCGCTGGTGGGAATCTACACTGCCGCCATGCCGTCTCCCCCCACGGATGCGCCGCCCAGTGACCTCATCTCGAAGCTCGATGCAGCGGTGGCCAGTGAACACACTTGTGTACCGCTGCCCGCGGCACATCCTTCACCCACCCCCGCCGACCGATGACGAGTGTGCTCCGATTAGTTCCCTTTTGACGCTGAGGTGCTGATGGTGGAAATGGTGAGGACCAGTGCGGTGGCCAATGGCATGGAGGTCGAGCTCCCTCGTCCTCTTGCTCCGTAGCAGCCTCGCAAGCTCCTGCCACGGCCTCAGATGAGGTGAAGACCGGAAGAGAAGATGAGAGAGGGGGAGTAGAGGAAGAAGATGAGTGCCTACTTACATGTGGGCCCCACATGTTTATTTTTATTTTTCGCTAACTTGGCTGCTACTTCAGCTAAAACACCAATCCATACTGCTTTGGGATCTATTTTGAACGGTTTTGCAAAGATAAGGGGTGAAGATTTGTGGTATTGCGGTTTAGAGATATCAATTAAACTCGGCGCAAACATGAGGTACGATAAATGAACTTATTCCTCTCAGATTACATGGTCTGAGAGTACTCCAATTTGGGCCGGTCCTGGAAGTTTCTTGTGGGCCGGAAGGCTCCATGTCAGGAGAGAATATCACTTTGCAATTGGAGCATAGAGAGCATAATTAGCATGATTCTGCCACTATAACCACTATATAAGCATATGTACTGTTGGTTTATATTCTTCCTTCTACCTATTGAGGGGTTACACTTTTTCTAGGCCTATGGCACCAATAGGCATATAATGTAACGCTCTAATCCGACATGATGATATCTCCTGAGTATTCAATGACCACTTGATTACCTTTCTTCTCTGACTATCCAAAGTTTTTGTGGAACCTTCTATTTTTCTCCAAGAGTAGGCGTTGGGCATTGTTTCTATAATTTAGCTGGTACGAATTATCTAACTTCTGTTGTTTAATTAAACCACCTACTAAAATTAAGTAGGATAAGTTTAGACATATAAACTATACATATGGACTACTTATATGGAAAATTTGGGAACCATCTGAAATTCTCATGGAAGCCACTTTAGCAATTATGAAGATCCATGGAGACCAATTTCAATAAAGCCTTATCAACCAAATGTGTTCTTGTACAAATATTTAATTGCAAAAGTTATACAGTGAATAAACATATACATTCTAGCCATGTGTACATCCTAAGCCATAGGAGAATACACACTGCACACTACCAGAGAAAACGTTCTGCAGATGGCCAAAACACATTTTTAAGACGGGCAAACACTCCGCTTGTAACTAAAGGCCTGAAAAAAACAATTTTTACAGGGGAGCATTCATCCACCTGTAAAAATTAATTTTTTTAAAGATAGGTAAAGCTGACCACCTACAGAGACAATTTTCGGCAAAAAAAAAATACATTTAAAAATATCACCACGCAGCTGCCTTGTCCGGATCAGGCACGGGGGTGACTGCACGAGCGTGCAGTCAGCACACATCCACCGTCCGAGCCATCCCACGGAAGCCCACGCTCACAAGCGATAGACTGATAGCGGACACACCTCTGGACTCCGATAACATATGCGTTCATTGTCGCTATCGCCGTCGCCGTTCACGGCAGGGACTGACCCAAAGCTCTTCACCGGGATGCGCCGCCACCATAGCCACCGGGAGCTGTAGCTTCCTCGTTGTCCCCTTGAGCGTCGTGCACGTACTCCACTGGTTCATCTTCCTGCTAGGACTGGATATGCAGCAATTGGAAGCAATTCAACATGCATGCTGCCTGTGAAAAAACTTGGAAAATATGGATGCACCAAGACCAAGTAGTAGCATAACACGATTACAGTTACAATGAGCAGCAAGCAAAGCTTGCGTTCTGATTCGATCGACTATGCAGCAAGCAACGTATTACGTTATGTACGCATTCAATCAGCTGGTTTTCTACAGAAACACAACGAGAACACCTTGTCACGCTTGCCTCCAGCTGCTGCTGCGCCGCTGCCGCTACAGACTTGTCCTGAACGGAAGATGGGTCGGCGGAGATTGAACACGACGTACTCTCTCCATCCCAAAATGTAAGCATTTTTAGCGCGTGTCTAGATCCATAGCTAAAAATTACTATATTTTGGGACGGAAGTAGTACATCCGAGGAGACAGCAGTGAAGCCCGGGTCTCGTAGCGGTCAATGGTGGCGTATGCCGGTGGAAAAGCTTCAGGTCACTCGGCTGACGGCAGCGCATACCGGCGTTTGAGCTCCGGGCCACTCCCCGGCGCAGGCGGGCACTTCATCGCTGCTACTTGCTGGGTTTTCGTGGGCTTCACGATGGCTGGTTCTGTCAGCTATGGCGTGCTGCCTCCTGAGGCATCGGATGGTTTGGACGGTGGATGAGTGCTGAAGGCACGCGCGTGCAGTCACCCCGTGAAGGCAGACAATCTTGATCCGCCTTGTCCCATTTACACAGAAGAAGCACAATGCAAATCAAATCAATGTCATCACACAAATGAGAATAGCAAGATTTACATATTCCACAGAAAAAAGAGGAAATAAGGGAGGAATTATAGATCTGAATGTGATGTGAGAATGGAAAAAAATATACAGACGTTTTCTGCACATATCCAAAAATATTTTTTTCTCAATCCTAGAAGGTACGTGAATAGTTAGATAAGCAATGACTCACTTAACTCACATTAATGATTTGATATCTATATACCTAATAATTAAAAAATACGCAAGGTTTCCGGTAGTAAATTTCGTCCGTCCCCCGGTTTATCCACGCGAGCGATCCATTTTTGACCGTGCGTTTAACGAGTCCGATCTGTTATGGCGGATGTTGCCTCACTAAGAATATTTATTATTATTAAATTTTAGCAACACCCTATGACACAAGCATCATAATTCCTAGTTGGTTACCCAACGAAGCTTCTAAATGGTAGGTTTGGAGTTCGACTCCCACCACCCCTTAGTTTTCTGCTGCTTACCCTCTCCTATTTTTCCTTTTTCTCTCCTAAGCTGATTATATATTTTTAAAAAGTACATCCATATATCTGAAATTCATATTAAACCAACAATATATGCAATTTTTTATTGTGCTTTTCTACACTTTATCGCCTCCTCTTATTAATTTTTTTTTGAAAAGTATGTCCTATTTTTTTCTCTCTTCTAAGCTTGATTATATATTTTTTTTAAAAGTACATCCATATGTTTAAAATTAATATTAAACCAGCAATATTTTTAATTTCCCATTGTGTTTTTTTATCACCTCCTCTTATTAATTCATTTTGAAAAGTACGTCCATGTGATTGCAATTAATATTAAACCAGTAATATATGTAATTTCCTACTGTGTTTTTTTACATTTTATCACCAACTTTGTATTTTTTTTTAATTGATAACATAAGGAATATCTTTCAAATGTCATGGTGAAATTCATGTTAAACCGGCATATATATAATTTTCTACTATATTTTTCTATACATTATCATCTTTTTTATTAAAAAAAACCTAGCATTTTATCATCGATCTTTTAAATGTCATGGTGTAAATCTTGAATACCCATAATTAAAATCTTGTGTCGGCCATTGGGTTGGTTGTGTGGCCTCGTGCGCACATGTCTTCCAGGATCGTTATCGATCAAGTTTATATTATCTATTTTCTCCGAACTAGAATTTCCATAAACATTGCAAATATGTTGTGCTACTGTGGGACCCACACCATCAAGGTTCCCAACACCCCTTGGATCGGAACTACCACATGCGAACTCAAGTGTGTGGTTAGACGGACTCGAGCCGTCGAGCGCATGAGTAGCTGCCTGCTAATGATGAGACGCAATTAATCCTATTTAATACTACATCTATCTTAAAATGCAAGTATTTTTACCTATGTCCAGATTCATAGTTAAAAATGCTTATATTTTAGGTTAGAGGTAGTAATTCTTACTTCCAATTAAACAATAATCTCCAAACTAGAATATATTTTAAAGTATTTATCAAATTTCTAATCATGTAAAATATCAACAAGGTGAAATCCATAGTCATTATCTTTTTTAGCTATCTATGTGTAAATTGGTAAAGCTGAATTAAATTAGGCTAAATTTCCATTTGATTATATTGTTCCTTTGTAGAGGTCGACCAAGTTGAAGGAATCTATTCTTCCAATTTGATGAAAATTCTAATGCATTTTTTTAAAGGTATACATATAATAGCATACATTACTTTTTAAATATGTATGATCAAATTAGATTTATGATTGGCTACAATGCAATCCTGATCGAATTGGAATACAGATCTGGTGGCTTGTATTTCTCAATGCCTAGGTGGGTCCTTGGTTATCTTCATATTAGTGCTATCATTAACAAATTTGAATTGTTATCATGTTTCTCCTCACGTGATAAATCATATTCAGCTTCAGTAACACACCGTTTATTAGTTCGAAGAGATATTTGCAATTAAGTGAAGCAAGCGCTAGGAGATAGATTGCCATGTGGGTCAACATCATGATCCATGATATAAAAATACTACGCATGTAAGACGTCATGAAACTAAACAATTAGTTTTTTTTCGATGCAACACACGGGCATTTTTTCTAGTATATTTTAAAAATAGAATGACCTACGTGACACCAACAAGTTAAATGATCCTTGTTGCATTTTAGTCAAATATAAAATGTGCGGGTGTGCAGCACATCCAAACGTGTCTATATCTTCGTATAAAACTATGGCTCTCAACAAACATATCTGCAACATATCTCTTTCATTTCGAACGGTCAACAAACATCTCTTCTTTTTTTATATTAACAAACAAACATCTCTTTGAATTAACATGGAGATGGCACACGTCAAACAAAAAAACAAAAAAAAACTGGGAAACGGAATCAAATTCCAGCAACAGCATAAATAAATAAATAATAAATAAATAAACAGCATAAATAAATAAATAAATAAATAAATAGGTCTGCTACAAAACGGGATCCTGTTGTAACGGGATAGACATATTAACTATTTCTTGCACGAGTATCACAGGTATTAGGTCCTAGGTATCGCAGGTACCGGGTAACAGGTATCACAGGTATCGGGTAACATGCAGCTGGTACCACAACAGATATCAGATATCAGTACTGTCTCTTCTTATAAGGATACCGTTGTCTAGGTTTTCTGATAAATAAACCCCCAAACAAGCGGAAGGAGCCAACCAATCACCAATCACCGAAAACACCGTGCAGCAGCGAAACAGCAGAAACCCGCGAGCGCAGAACGGAAAACCGAAGTCTCCTCGATGGACTCCTCCGCGGCGTCGGCGGCGGCTGCGGCGGCGGCGCCGGTGGTGCTGGTGACGAACGACGACGGCATCGACGCGCCGGGACTCCGCTTCCTCGTCGGCCAGCTCGTCGCCGCCCGCCGCTACCGCGTCCTCGTCTGCGCGCCCGACACGTGAGTGTTGCTCCGCTTCCCCATCTCTCCACCCCCTTCCCCCTCGTGATCGATAGAGCGAGTGAGCAAACCCTCGCGTCTGCCTCTGAGATTGATTTCCGTAGTAGGGGGGGGGGGGGAGCGCGGCGGTGCTGTTTGTGAATGGTGATCGATTGGTTGGGAATTGGGAGTTGGAGTTGAATTGGTAGGATTAGGAACTAGGAAGGAGCATGTGGGAGAGAAGGCGAGGATTTCGGATGAGGAATGCTCGTTTTGCTTCCCTCTTTGGCTTTCTCAGCTACAAAGAAAAATATGAATGAGGAGAGTTTTTTTTTAATAAAAAAATTTTACCCCTCTGTAAATTTCTTGCTACCTACAGAAGTACAGATTATATAGTTTACTTCGTTTATGTTCTCCGTGTTGATCGCTGGTCTTCGAAATGGAGAAACTAATTCAGAATCAGGAGGATTTTGATAATGAAAAGTAGTAGTGGTGATTAGATTTTTGTTATTCGGGGATGTTTTTCTGTGGTTTTGGTATGCTGTAGTTTGCTAAAAGAAGCAGATTTTAGGGAACATGGAACCTATAACAGTGTAACTGAACTTCTCTTTTCACATGATGGATCATCACAAAAGCAAGGAAACAAAGCATAGATTTAATCATAGTATACGGGTATCAAGTTTTGCAAGATGCTGTGTTCAGAACATGGAATCTGTTCCGTTGAAGAATATTCTTACCTGATTTTTAGCTCCAATTACATCATTCGGTTGCCAAGTTGTGGTAAATTAAAATGCCTTTGTGGGGGCAAGTGTTTTCCGAATCTATGATATTGGTGTACTAAATCAAGTAAAGGATGGTTCATTCACTGAGTTATTTCCTTTGCAAAATAGTGGTATTCTTGAGAAGAAAACTAACACACTATGGGAGCTTTTAATGCCTCGACATGAAAAAAAAAACAGAGGGCTTCCAGTAGCATTTATTCGCGGCATGTGATCGTGTTCCTCTAATGGCATTATTCTTGTGCTTCAAATATGCAGAGACAGGTCAGGTGTTAGCCACTCCATCACATGGCGCCCTGCACTCCGCTGTAAACGAGTTGATATAGATGGTGCTACAGCATTTGCAGCCTCAGGTCTTGTATTTTTGACTGATATCATCTACATATGAACTTCCTTATAGACTATTCAATGTCAAGGACAGTGCATGTCAAATGCCTAACACTACACTTAAATAACAATAGGGACTCCTGCTGACTGTGCTTCTTTAGGCATATCTGGGAAGCTCTTTGATGGTTTGGTTCCTGATCTGGCAAGTTTTGGAATTTCTTCATAGATAAATTGATGTCCTTTTATGGTTTTATGTCATCTTCAACTACGAAAAGGTTTACCAGTAACGCTTGGTTTTCATTTTACTTTATTTCATCCATAATGCAGGTAGTCAGTGGAATCAATGTTGGCAACAATTGTGGATGCCATGTGTAAGTGTATCAATCCATGCATATTCATTATCTCAAACATATTGTCATATTGCTTCTCCCGCATCCGCTTATTTGAATACCTGTTGGTACTTTACATGTGCAATTATTGTTATAATTTCCATGTGGAATTGCATTCTGATATTTTCAATAACAATTACTGCCATGATATAGTTTTGCTGTTTTTTACCAGCGGTATAGTGTTAAAATTAACTGTCTGGATTGTACAGATCATAAAAATAAAAATAAAAATCAACAAATATTTTCTGACTTCTGACTGAAGCCATTGTTTGAGGTGTCCTCTAAACTATCAAGGAATTAGTACTGTAATTGCACTGGATCATGAGAACTTTATGCTTTTATTATGCAGTATCTATTCTGGAACAGTTGGCGGTGCTAGGGAGGCATTCTTGTACGGGATTCCTTCATTAGCCATGTCATATGATTGGTATGCAAAGATTTTTTTTTCTTTGCTATTATTCGCTGTATTTGCTCCTCTGTTGTTCAAATAACACATTTACATATTCAGCATCTACTAGTTATCTGACTAGAACTAGGTTTTACTGTCATATGAGTTGTCTGTTTCATGTAGAATGTATATATAGATTGGCTTCTACAGTTTATCTGTTGGTCAAGCTTTCAGAACTATGGACTTGTTTTTATAGTTAGTTATATCCATTCTTCAGTACATCCTGCGTACTGTCATTGCATAACTAATTCCAAGAGAAAATACCATTGAAAGTGGACTGCAATGTGGAAGATGATGGATTGGAGTACTGTTATCTACAGAGTAGCTGATAGTTTATAATATTCTTTGAGGTTTTTCTTTCCAACGGATGTTTAGCAAACGGTATGATTTAATAGATACTAGTCTAATATGGGTTCAAGTTCTTTGGCCTCCACCCCAAGTATACGAATTTGCCAATGACTCTCATTCATGAAGCAAGATTTATTTCTTGTAACATTCCCTGTTCGCACATTGGAAAATTTTAAGTAACTGCACTAATTAGTAGAACCTTTAATCTGTATTCTACATGTTGGGCTCTCCCCCTGAAGGTCAGTGAGATCCCATTAGCCCGTTGGGTTCTTTACAAATCTACCAACTTTCAGCTGTTAAACATTAAGTTAATTTGATGTATGTATGATTTAATGTTTGCAAGTTCACCTTTTTATTTTGACTTTTCATGTGCTCAAGTCTATGAACGCTACTAGTTAGTGAAAACTGAAAACTAGAGTATCCAGTTTGACATCCCAATTGCAACTCTCAGGGTCGCAAGTCAGAGCAGTGTTAACGACCTCAAAGTAGCTGCAGAGGTTGTTATGCCTCTGATAAATAATGTGATGGCTGAGATAAAGAATGGGACATATCCTCAAGGATCATTCTTGAATATAGATATACCAACTGATGCTGCACACCACAAGGTAAATCTCTAGCTGTAATTTTTTAGTAAATTACTCCATTCTCAAACAGATGTTGTTAGTAAATTACTTTTATGCTGCCTATCTGTAGGGATACAAAATTACAAAGCAAGGAAGGTATATGGCCAGAATTGGTTGGGAGCAAACAGTTTATAAGAAGCCTGCGGTAGAAAGTTACCAGACAGCAAACATGGATGTTGACAGTGAAAAGGACAGTGAAGTAGATACTTCATCAGAGAATGACCTATTGTTTAAAAGAGTGGTAACTTCACATTGCTCCAAGAAACATTTTATTCTTATTCTTTCAAGCACATTTGAACTGCATCTGATAGGTAGCCTTCTAGCAAAATAAAATTTACTGTAAGATCTGTAGCATAAACTGTTTATAAAAGAATTTTGGAATTGACTCTCATTCTTCTAAAGTCGTAATTATTCTTCATTTCTTCCATATAATATCAATGGTAATAGCAAACCGTTTATAAAAAGAGCTTAAATGAGAAGTCCTGTAGGTACAAGGTAATTCACATTCCACACTCATAAATGGGGAGCACTCTTACATGAATGATAACCGTTACCCATGGTATATTTATGCTAGCTAGCTATTGATTATTGTTGGAAAACATTAGAGTAAATATAAGTTTGTTCTTTTTTGTGAGAAATTTTGTTAACTAGCTCTGATTAAATTCTGAACAGCTTGTGAGGCGAAGTTATGATGAAGAGGAAGGGGATGATATCGACCACAAGTGCCTTGTAGATGGATATGTAAGAATGACCTAAATATTCTCTTCATAAAAAAGAACTGACTACTATACACTTTCCATTTTCTGATAGAATTCATCCTCAGATAAGTATATATTGTTTGTTCCAGATTACTGTTACCCCTTTGGGAGCTCTATCCCGCGCAGAAGCTGATGTCATACCATACTACAAAGCTTGCTTGTCACGTCTGTATGATCTTTCTTCTTCCTCCTTATAGTGGCTATTTATTGCACTTCTTTATTTGAGGTTATTTTCAATTGTGGTTATTTATTGCACTTCTTTATGAGGTCATTTTCAAATGTCAATTCTATTTTTTCTTGCCATTGGTTACTTTTGATCTTTCATCTTCTAGATTAAAGAGGTTTGAGTCCGAGGGTTCACCTCGGACCTACATCCTTTTCAAGAAAATGCCACAGATTTGTGCTACTCTTTTTTTTTCCGTTTTTTACACCAAAAAAAACACACTACACCCAGAGACATAGGTCTTTTCAAACATTACGATATACTCCCTCCGCCCCAAATATAAGGGGTTCTAGGTTTTCTTACTATAATGTCCCTCATTATGTGGTGAATGGGAATGTTATTGGGTGTAAGGTTGGAAGAAAAATTGAACTATGGATGATTAATTGGACTAGCATTACTCCACATCGTCCGAGGGTTCACCTCGGACCTATATCCTTTTCAAGTAAATGCCACAGATTTGTGCTAGTTTTTTTTTCATTTTTTACACCAAAAAAACACACTACACGCAGAGGCATAGGTCTTTTCAAACATTAGGATATATTCCCTTCGCCCCAAATATAAGGGGTTCTAGTTTTTCTTACTATAATGTCCCTCATTGTGTGGTGAATGGGAATGTTATTGGGTGTAAGGTGTAGTTTTGTGATTTTTCCTCTAGAAGCTTCACTCCATTTCCTTTCTCATCTACTATACATATACATTGGTGGAATGGGCCCTATTGGGCTGAAATACACACGCCTACACTCAACACTCCCCCTCAAGATGGGCGATAAATATCTATCATGCCCATCTTGCTACACGAAGAAGTGCACTCTCTAGCACCTAATGCCTTCGTTAAACTATCAGCTACTTGTTCACCAGAGTTTACAAAGCCTAAGTTTAAGGTTCCCTCATCCATTCTCTCTTTAATAAAGAAGCGATCTATTTCCACATGCTTCGTTCGATCATGCTGGACTGGATTGTTAGCAATATTTATGGCTGATTTGTTGTCACACCACAACTTCATGGAAGTGCTTGTCGACAGCTTCAATTCAGCCAAAAGATTTTTCAACCATAACAATTCACTCAAGCTCATTGACATTGACCTGTATTCCGCCTCAGCAGTCGAGCGAGACACAACTGATTGTTTCTTGCTCCTCCAAGATACCAGATTGCCACCAATAAATACACAGTAGCCTGATGTTGACCTCCTATCATCAAGACAACTGCCCCAATCTGCATCACAATATCCCTCCACATCTAGGTGTCCATTCTTCTTGAACCATATGCCTTTACCTGGGCTTGCCTTCAAATATCTCAAAATTCTATACACAACATCCATGTGACCACTTCTAGGATCATGCATGTATCGGCTCACCACACTCACAGCATAAGTTATATCAGGTCTTGTGTGACAAATATATCAACCTTCCCACAAGTCTTTGATATCTCTCTTTATTAACTGGATCTCCAGATTCAGCACATAACTTATGATTTTGTTCAATTGGTGTAGAAGCTGGCCGACATCCAAGCATACCTGTATCACTGAGCAGATCCAATACATACTTTCGCTGTGAAAGAACTATTCCTCTAGGAGATCTTGCAATTTCAATACCCAAAAAATATTTTAATTGGCCCAGATCCTTGACCTCAAACTCCTTGCTTAGATTTTGTTTCAACCTAGATATCTCCAAGCAATCATCTCCAGTGATAATCATGTCATCAACATACACAACAAGAATAGTTTTAAGACCTCTATTATGGCGATAGAAAACTGTGTGGTCTCCATTGCACTGTTTATAACCCATACCACACATTGCACGTCTAAAGCGATCAAACCATGCTCTTGGTGATTGTTTAAGGCCATATAAAGATTTTTTCAGTCTCAACACTTTACCTTCAGTTTGTGAGGTAGCAAATCCAGGTGGAATTTCCATATACACCTCCTTTTGAAGATCTCCATGTAAGAATGCATTCTTGACATCTAACTGATGCAATGGCCAATCAAAATTAGCTGCACAAGAGATAAGAGTTCTTACCGTGCTCATCTTTGCTACTGGTGCAAAAGTTTCATCATAATCAATTCCATATGTTTGACTATATCCCTTAGCCACAAGCCTTGCCTTGTATCTTTCCACATTTCCATCAGGATTTTGCTTTACTGTATAAACCCATTTACAGTTAACCACTTTCTTCCCTTTAGGGAATGGTACAAGGTCCCATGTTTTGTTCTTTTCAAGAGCCTCTAGCTCCTCTAGCATAGCTTGATGCCACCTTGGGTCTTGCTTTGCTTCCCTCCAATCATTTGGAATTTCCACTGAATTTAGTGATGTCACAAAGGCCTTATATGTGGATGACAAAGAAGCATAAGAGACATAATTGGCTATGTTATTCTCATCATCATTCACACCTTGAGCTTCAAAACCATACCTTTGTGGAGGTTTACCTGCATTGCTTCTTACCCCCTTTCTTATAGCAATAGGAAGATTAGTTTCTTCTCCCCCTGTTTCAAACTCCTCTCCTTCCGTATCCGATGAAATCTGTATAGTATCACACTGATCAGATGGTTTATCACCTACTTCAGCAACAATTGAAGATTGTTGCTGCTCCATCCCATCCATAGGAGACTCATGTTGCCCCATTGTTTGCGCCTCCAAAGACCTTGTTTTCCTCCTAGTATAAACTTGTAGATTTTCTTCTTCACGTGGCCTTCTCCAATTTTTCTCATGAATGGGTTCACTAACAGGATATGGGATTGAGCCAACCACAAATTTCATGCTTCTTGATTGTGTGTCTTCTTCAGTACCTGATGAGCCATTCTCCCCCTCTTGTCCATCCTCATCAATAATTGGATTGTCAAGATTAACAAACAAGGAACTCAAATCTGTTCTTTCTCCATAGAACGGAACAGACTCTCTAAAAGTAACATCCATACTAACAAAAGTTCGCCGCTCAGATGGACTCCAACATTTATATCCCTTTTGCCCAGAAGAGTAACCTATAAAAATACACTTGACGGCTCGAGGATCCAATTTTCCAACGGATGGTCTATGATCTCTGACAAAACAAGTACACCCAAACACTTTTGGAGGAACAATGAATTCATTTTTCCCAAACACCATTTCATATGGAGTCTTCATCCCAAGTATTCGTGATGGCATGCGATTGATGAGATATGTTGCTGTCATGACTGCCTCACTCCATAGAAACTTTGGTACATTCATCGTATACATGAGTGAACGAGTTACCTCCAGAATATGTCGATTTTTCCTCTCAGCTACTCCGTTCTGTGGAGGTGTGTCAGCACAAGAAGTTTGATGTACTATTCCTTCTGCTGAGAGAAAACTCCTAAATTCATCATTCACATATTCTCCCCCATTATCGCTCCTAATAACTTTAACACAAGTGTTTAATTGATTCCTAACCCAAGCATAGAAATTCTTGAAACATTTCAATACTTCACTCTTGTGTCTCATGAGATATATCCAAGTCATTCGTGAGTGGCAATCAATAAAGGTGACAAAGTACTTTGCTCCACTTACCGAAGCAATAGGAGAAGTCCATACATCAGAGTGAACCAACACAAATGGCAAAATGCTTCGAAGTCCTCTGCTTATGTATGTGGTTCGTGTATGTTTTCCATACTCGCATGCATCACACATTAATTTGCTTTTGTCCACCTTACTCATCTCATCAGGAAATACCTTAGACATAGTATCAAAGGACATATGTCCCAATTGACAATGTTTTAGAATCAATTTAGCCTCCTCTTCACTTGTGCTAGCTAACAAAGCACTACATAGTGCTTTGTCCGTCCCTCTTCTATCCAGATACCACAACCCATTATGCCTAACGCCGGTTCCAAGCTTTCTTCCAGTTCTTCTCTCCTCAATTAGACAATTCTCTCGGTCAATAGTAATTCGACAATCCATATGATCAACCAACGAGCTTACGGATACTAGGTTAACAGGAAAAGAGGGAGCATATAAAATTGACGACAATGTAATTGATGGAGTACATTTGACTGTTCCCACTCCCCTCACATGTCGTAAAGTTCCGTCGGCAGTTTGAATTGTTTCTTTAAATGATGACTGAAATGGAGTATATGATGTAAACTCACTCGACATTCCTGTAACATGTCTAGATGCTCCGGGGTCTAATATCCAAGTTGAGTTAGGTACCTGCATAGGATGTGCGAGATTAACAAAGTTGCCAAGCACTGTTGTTTTCTCCTTCACTTTCTGAATTCTTCCCCTTATTTCTTCAACTTCTTCAGCCAATTTCTCAAGTATTTGCTCAATTCCTTGAATTTCCCCCATGGCAGATCAACCAAATCTTCTAGGATACTAGCCAAATCAATTAATAGGAGTAACAACACTACTCCTCAGTTTCTCACCAAAAACAGAACAGCAGCAGTAGCACTACTTCCTCCCAGCAGCACTACTTTTCAGTTTCCCCCAAATCAGCACAACAGCAGCAGCAAGCCAAGCTCTCGTACTCAGTTTCTTCCCCAAATCAGAACAACAGCAACAGCAAACCAAGCTTCCGCTTCACCTCCAAATCCTCACCTTCTCAAGTAGCAGCAGCACCAGCAACAGCACCACCAAAGTCACCACCACTGGAACGGACAACAATAGCCAATAGCACCAAATCCTTCTCTGTTGATCCTACAGCCAATAGCTGCGCGTCTCTCAGCCGCTGTGCTCCCTACAGCTTGTGCTGCACCAAATCCTTGCGCAGCTCAACCAGCGAGCGTGCGCCCTGCTCCTCCTTCACGCTGCTCGCGTCGAGAACCTCTGCAGCAGCCGTCGCCGCCTCCGCCGTCGACACTGCCGCTCCACCTCCGCTGTCCGACGTCGCCGCTCCGCCTCAGCCGTCGACGTCGCCGCAGAACCCCTCTGGTCACAGCGCCGCCGCCGACTAGGGTTCGCGTCGGCGAGGTCGCCGGTGACCCAGCTCTGATACCATGTAGTTTTGTGATTTTTCCTCTAGAAGCTTCACTTCATTTTCTTTCTCATCTACTATACATATACATTGGTGGAATGGGCCCTATTGGGCTGAAATACACACGCCTACACTCAACATAAGGTGGGAAGAAAAATTGAACTATGGATGATTAATTGGACAAGCATTACTCCAAATCCGTTATATTCGGGGATAAAATTTGAATGATTCTATCCCTTATATTTGGGGATGGAGGGAGTAGCATTGTTCCCCACAGGCAAAGTGATTTTTCCCACTTCCACGCTATATCATTTTTGTAATTGGCCTGGCATATTCTCATACATTGACCTATATATATTGTCCGTTAATTCTTGCCATGTTAATTGTTAGTTCTCATACATTCCTGTTTGTGTAATCATCACGATGGAAAAAAAAAGCATTTTACCTTGTTTCCTAGCATCGCAACTTTGCTTTTCTTGTTCGTCACAATTACCATGTTTTGTAGCTGGTGGTGTGGTAAAGTTCATATATAAATTCGGAAACAAAAGATGACATGTTACTTCAGTATGCAACTGACTTTTCTTTCATGTGATATTTTTCAGGTGATCAGGATACTTTTGTGGCCCACTAAACTGAAAAAGTTGGTGTCATGGTTGCAAGTTGCAAATAAAGTTGCATGAATTTCAGTTATTCTAGATGATTGTTACTGATGTATTGCCATATTATGTACTTCCGTGATTATTCAGAGCATATGTATCACATAGCTCTTACTATTTATAACTACAGTTCCACAATAATTCTTTGGTATTATATTTTTCTGAGACTTGTTGCATATAGAGCTATATCAATTACGTTTTCAAACTTCTCCCAACTTATTGAATCTTGTTGAAATCCACTTGAAAGACATCAATGGAACTTATACAATATGATGAAATCTTCAGGAAACCGGTCTGGAAAACACCAAGAACAGATAATCTGAAAAAATCATGTACTCTTTTACCGTTTCAGAACTGAAGCAAAATCCATAGAATGTCAAAATTGGAATTTGAAGCATCATTGAAAAATTTGAAACTAGTCTCAAAACGTCTATGAAATGTGCCAGAAACCTACTCAAACGTATGAAGTATCTAGACCACAAATCCCATCTCATTGCAATAAATATTCTGCTCAACAAAATACCAAATCTTTGCTCACCAACTCCACATAAAAAAAACCAATATACCGAATACTTGTCTTCTTGGTGATCACAACACCTCATGCTATTGTCGGCATGCCATATTTCACTGAAGATATTTTGATAATTTCTTTTTACAAATACAGTTCGTATTGTCATGTACTCCACAGCCATTTCTAGAATCTTTCCAAGATCAAGAAATTTAATTTGGATCCCATCATTCCATGCTCACTAAATCGTTAATTAATATACCTAAAACACACATCATCACAGTGGTCCTGTACTCATATACAATTTCATGAGGATGACCACTTGGCAGGCACGCTTGCAGGAGAAAACGAGAGCAAGGGACACATCAAGCAACAAGAAATTGACAGGCTATTAAATTATTATATAACCAAAAGCAGAGACAGATACACTCTACCAACCTATCTCCAATACCACAATCAAGGGTAAGGCATTTGAGCAAGTATTCAAGTATGTATGTATGTACAAATGAGCTCAGCCTCACACTCTTTATCAACCTCAACACATGACACTCACAGGTAACAACATTTCACCCACACTGGGTGTTTTTCTTTCTTTTTTTTTCGACGATGGAAGCGAAACTCCTAGCCTCCGCACCAACTAAGGATGCACACGACCGAATTTCACATTCACTAATACAGGATGCGAATCGGACACCGAGAAAGAAGATAAACAAACCTCGATATTTTTTTCTCTCATTTCTTTTTTGGAGTGCATGAATGCAAGGACAATGGCCAATGAGGATCATCATCATCAAAGCCAAAAACCACACCCTAGAATGACTTCTCAGGAAAACCCTTCCCTTAGTCTCTACACAAAGTAGTTCTGAAGTTTTGCTGCTCATGCCATGGCCTCAAACTTCAGAGCTTCAGCTTCATGAGAGCCGGATGACGGTGCGAGTCGATGAGGATCGACCACAGGACATGAACATCCTCATCCTGGCAGGACTGAACATCCTTGTACAAGATATACATTCCCCTACCTATCAAGAAATGCACATATATGTTCATAGAGAAAACAGGCAGCATCTCCACAATAACATGTTCGAAATGAAGAAAGAAACCGTCATGAAGAAGAATGTCGCATAGTTTGAAATGCATAGAAAAACCATCATGAAGAAGAATGTTGCATAGATTTGCAGGTTCATGGGCAGAGAAACTTACGGTTCCTGCGCTCCGAATGCGCGCAAACCCAGAGCCTCCTGAGAGGGGAGAAGAGGGAGTGGAGCCACCCCATTGAGGAATGGTGAGGAAGAGATAGTGTGCAAATGGAAGGAAATAGAGGGGGTTGGGGGGTAGTAGGGTTAGAGAGGAGGTAACCATCAGCTCTGTTGCTTTTGGTGATGAGGTGAAGTCTATTGCACTTTACCATATTGTTGTGCTTCCTTGCAACCCAATCAGGGGTGTCATGAGCAATTTATTCTGGTATATTGTCCCTTTCCACTCCTTGGTCTTCCTTCTACCTCATTTTTTCTCCCATTGGAACGGCTATTTCTCACACTTTAACCTAACCTCCAAGAGAATAACAATGCAAGGTAGTACAAAACCGGAATGATTAGTTTGCAAAAATGATTTTATTTATGTGCATCTTCTGCAGGCTACAAATATCATAATTCAACACCAAATTTGTGGGGTTCTTTGGTCCATCCTTCAATTTGTCTCCATTCTTATGTTTGGTGCTATATCTTGGTAAAAAAAATTAAAAAAAAGAGATAAGAAGTGACTAAACAATTATTTTTGAATTTGGAACCTATTGGATTTGGATCAAATATTTTAAATACTAGCTAGGTGTAGGCTTGGTTTTTAGTTTGTACTAGTACCACAGATAAATAAACCAATCATGTATTTCAAGTAACCAAATAAGCTTTCGAATTTATATTCTACTCGACTGTTAGCATATACATTTTTTCTAATCATGTCTACTCTTCTGCCGGTGTGCTGCTCTTATCAATGCGTGTATATATTTTGCCCTTGACAAAGACAGAATGACCTTCTTTGAGATGCAAAAGAAGAAAGCACATGATAGTGCTATAAACGTTCACTAGTGAATTGAAATACAACAAATTGATTTTCTTAAATTGATCATATTTTTTTTAGAAAAACGGCATGCATGTTAATACGACTAAAAGGACCATTATTCATGTTACCATGGATTTCATGTACTTAGAAGAAGATACTAGCAGAAAATAAAACTGAAGAGAGTATAAAGTGCTATATTCGTCCTAAAATATAAGAAGTTCTAAGCTTATACACAGGTATTAAAAACGTTAGAAATTATATTTTAGAATAGAATTTCAATGTTAAAAGTTGTTATATTTTAGGACCGAGAAGTAGCAAATCCCTCAACAGCAACCCCCCCCCCCCCACCCCCCTCCCCCCCAAAAAAAACAGACACAAAAAGGGTTTCTGTTTGTTGACGTATGTTTGTTCTTCTAAAAATGGTCATGTATTATGAATCTTCGAGAACTTATTCTAGTATATGCACCAACGTTAAATTGTAAATGCAACCGTAATCGCATATGTTTTACTTACGGATTTTGCCTTCTAGAACACAGTTAACGTATTGGTCAAGTGCGTGCTGTTCATACTAAAATCCTGAAAGTTATTAACTGGTTAGTGGTCTGCTAGCTCAGCAAGCGTCCTAGCCTTCCAGGCTGGTGGTGTGTTTGTTTTATATTTTTCTAATTACTAGCAATAATGCCCGTGCGTTTCAACTGGTGATGGTAATTTTAATCATGCATACTGTTGGCAAAAATGATAAAGGAATCGTAATAATAATAATAATAATAATAATAATAATAATAATAATAATAATAATAATAATAATAATAATAATAATAATAATAATGAAATTTAATATTTATGTGGTTAATGCAATGCCATTTTATTTGTTTGTTTTTTCAGAATCAGCTGTGATAAGATAAAAGCAATATTCATTTCTCTAGATAAAAATGAATGAAATAAAAAAAGTTCAACGATCTAAAGTGAACATATTCCATACGGAGGTGTGTGCAGTTCATGAGGCGGCCCAATAGTGTGGGCGGCCTGGGAACAGAATCGGGGACAACTTAAGGGATCTAAAGTGAACTTATTTCGTGTGGGCGGCCTGGGAATGGTGTTTGGCCCGACGCGAGAGAAGTTGTAGCTGTACGATCTGATGGACGGTCCTGATTGATCCCGATCTATATAAAAGTTCAACAGCCCAACCCTAACCCTAAAAACATTTCCTTTCCCCCCTTTCTCTCTCTCAACGGTGGCGGCGGCGCCTCTCCCCCTCCGCCACTCCTCTTCCAACCCCACCGCGCAGCGCCTCTCCCCTCTGCCGCTCCTCCTCTCCCAACCCCACCGACGGTGCTGCTCTATCTCGCCCTCTTCCCTTCCGGCGGGAGATGAAGGCAGCAGGTAGGGGCGGCGCCCTCTCCTCCGCCGGATCTAGCAGGAGGGGAGGCGGCGGCATCCCGGCGTCCCTGCGAGGCCTCTCACCTTCCGCGCGCGGCGGCGCCTGTAGGATCGAGATGTCGACTAGAGGGGGGTGAATAGCCGATTTAAAATTAAATGACACCTAATCAAAACTAACCTAAGTTGCTAGGCTTGGTGAGGGACAAGACTAACTAAGCAACTAAGTTATGTTTTGCAATCCTAGGGTGAAAGTGGCTCAAGTATATCACTAGGAAAGTAAATCACATTTCCTAAGTCTAGTTTAGGAATCCTATGGTGAAATGATCTCTAGTATGTCTCTAGAAATGTAAATGCACCAAGTAAATGAGACAAGGAGACAAGAGATTTTTCACCGAGGTTCAGAAACTCGCCGGTTTCCTACTTCCCGTTGAGGCGAGCCCAACTCCAACGCTCAACCACGAAGCCACCACACGCCCCCTTCGTTAAGGGGTGGGCAAGGCGGGAGCCGGCCCATGGAGAGGACTAGGGTAGTTCTTCCTTCACTCCGAAGGTGGTGAACTCCAAACCATTCACAACCGGCGCCGGGCCTCCTCCACAATCTTCTCGGAGAGGTCACCAGGCAACTTCTCCACAAGCCGTCTAGGAGGCGGCAACCTCCAAGAGTAACAAGCAATGACCCGGCGTGGAGATGATCAATCAAGTGCCACACTAGCTCTACAAATGGAAGCAATGCACTTGACTCTTGGCTAATTAACCCTCTAACACACTAGATGGATGAACACAAAGCTCAAGTGGGTGTGAGAGAGGTGCAAGGGGTGTATGCAATTGAATTGGGTGCCAAGAGAGTCCCCTTGCTGCTGGAGGTGGAGTATTTATACTCCCACCAACCAAAACTAGCCGTTGGGGGCGAAATCCCCCAACTCAGTGCTCTGCCGGTTTGACCGGAGGTATGTGGCTGGTCAGACCGTGCTACTCTACAACGGCTAGTTTTCTAGCCGTTGTAGGGCTGTCATTGGGCCCCACTGCCTAAGCCGGTCAGACCGACATGGGGTGGCCGGTCAGACCGGCCTCGGCTCAGTCAGACCGCCATCAGCTCGGTCTGACCGAATATGGCTTTGGCGGCTCGGGATCGGCACACCCAGAGCATGCCATCCCGGCCATATGGCTGGCCGGTCAGACTGGCATGTACCCGCCGGTCAGACCGCCACTGCCTGGCCAGTCAGACCGCTACTCTCTGGCCGGTCAGACCGGCCAGGGCCGTTGGTCAGACCGTCACTATGTGGCCGGTCTGACCGCCCCTGGTCAGGCCACAGTGAGGGGCAAAGTGTTTATGTGTGTGTTGGGAGAATGTGAGCACAAGTGAAAATGTAATGATCTAATGTGGCAATTAAAATCATCTCATTGCTAGGCCATTACCCCCCTTGATAGTACGACGAAACTATAAATAAACTAGCACAATTTTGATCGCCCAACGCCTCGATCAATTCAAAATGAAAACACTAGTTTACCGTCTTCTCTTCCTTTTGCTTTGCTCCGTCAATTTTAATCCATCGATAATCATCCATGCGCACACATGATGTGAACCTAACTTAAAGATATAGCTCAAAAGAACGGTTAGTCCACAATTAGCGCTTGTCATTAATTACCAAAATTAACATCGGGGGCCTAGATGCTTCAGCGCCCCTCCGCCCTCACCTCCTCTTCCTCGCCATAGGGCCGCGGTAGGGCTCGACGGTGGCGGGCAACGCTCTCCCCTCCACCGGATCTAGGAGGGGAGGCGGTGGCGGCCCAGCGTCTCGGCGGCCCCCTCCACCGGATCCAGTGGGAGGGGAGCAGCCGGTGGTCCGGCATCCCTGCGACGGCGGTGGCGATTCAGCGGCGACGGTGGCACCCTCCCTTTCCGGCATCGGTGTTTTCTTGTGTTCTTGAATTTATGCGGACTCGTTTTTTACCATCGGAGAAGGATTGAAGCAGGATCGATCGCACGTGCGGTGTAAAAATTTATTTTTTGACAATATACGTATATAGATAGATAGATTGAATCAGACTTTCTTTTTTACATGTTTTTTGCGCCCTTTTCTCGTTATTATGGGTGACAGAAACATTTTTAATTTTTTAAGTAGTAGGGATAGGCTGTGTTCGGCACTACCTGTTCCCATTCTCTCCTCCTCATTTTCCACGCACACGCTTTTCAAACTGTTAAACGGTGTGTTTTTTGCAAAAAGTTGCTTAAAAAATCATATTGATCTATTTTTGAAAAAAATAGGTAATACTTAATTAATCACGTGCTAACGGATCACTTTATTTTCCGTGTGGAGGAAATGGGTTCCCAGTTCGGGAGAACGAAGGCAGCCATAGTCTTTCAGGATTATGGTCTTATAATTGTTTATGCTTTATTCAATAAAACTTCACACCGTCTAAGTATCGGTTAAAAAAAAAGCATCCTAGGCAATTACTGTTTTTCTTTTTCAAAGTAGGGATGTTTTTCTTTTTGGGTGGACAAGAAAAGGAGCAAACTTACACTTGTGGGAGCTTCTGCTATATGTTGGGATCTGTGGTTGAGTAGGAATGATATGGTTTTGACAAATCACCATCTATTTCATATATACAGGTCATTTTCAGGCAACATATTGGCTCCGGTTTTAGGCACAACTATAAAGGTGTGATGAAGATGGAGAGTTTTTAGAAGTTGCATGTCATAAGTTTGAGATGATGGTTATGCAACTTTTTACCAATTATGGATGGAGATTCACAAATAAACTTTAATAAATGTGTACTCCATATCTTACATTGGTTATTTCTTATTTTTGGTTGGTGTTTTCAATTTTTATTTGAACTACATGCTTTTTAGAGTGCTAGATTATAATAATTGGCTGTACCTCTTCTGAGCAAAGGCCGGGATGTTCCATTCCATTATCTAAAGAAAAATAGGGATGTTGAGTAGTGGTGAAA